ATATCTGCACCTTTATATCCCATCTCCTCCAGGATTTTGGTGAGTGGTTGCTGGCCGCCCTTGCCCGTGATGAAGTTCAAGTTAGGCACAAACCAAGACTGACCATCCTCCATGAATTCCTCGTCTAGCAACCGCATGCCAAAAGAGCCCGCTATGCCACCATTATACGACGCCAAAACGTCCATCACGGGAAGAAGTTGGTCGCCCAAAATGGACCGCAGAGCGTAAAAGATTCGGTCGTGGATGTATATGTGGACCTGAGATCGGAGCACGGAGTTGCATTGCGACAGAGACAGGAGGTCGAACAATTTCATGGAGCGATGGACCATGCGCCAGAGTTCGGGAGGTAACCCGACATCCAAGGTGGGCGGAAGGTCCAACTGCAAAGGCTCCCCGCTAACATTGTCGTCGCTGTCGATAGGAGAGATAGCGGCTGCTTCTGCGTCAGATAAACGACATCAAGCGTGGAGTACACACCGACATGCTCCTCTACTGGGGAGGTGCTTGATGACCGACCTGATCACAAGGAAAGTCGTCAACTTCGCTAAAGGCAATCGGCGCACTCACTGTGGCCCAATGGTGGAGATGGAGTCAGGGTGTCGTCCTCGATGGGCACCGCTCGAACGCGGCGACCTTGGCGAATATAGGTAAAAAGTCGGCTTGTAATTTCGTCGAAAACCAGCTCCTCTTCGTCCGCACTGTCGTATGAATCGTAAGTCCAAGCTGGCGACGGAGCATCCAGCGTCGGCACTACAAACGGCGCGTCACGCATTTCCGCAGCTGTAGACCGTTAGGCTGAGGTGAGCGATTCCCAAATGAATAGTACACACTCAGAGTGTTATCAGCCTGCGGGGATGACACTGTAGCAACCGAAAAATATGCAACTATTAGTAAAAGAAGACAGTGGACACTATTTCTACGAACCCTGCAACTCGGGGCGCTCAGCAAGAGGTCCACCCGACCCTCGCCCCGACTGACGACCTTCCTCGACCGTTTCGTTTATGACTAAGTTACTATCTACAGGAAACTGATGTTCTGCGTTCATCGGAGTGGATGGAAAGGCGTGTTAAGAAGATCTTGGGCTGCAGTGCAACGGCGGGCGAATTCCTCGTTAGCGGGGAGCGACAAGTACGCAAGAAACTCCTCGAAATCTTAAATACGGGTCAGCTTTGTCGTGTGATTCGATCCGACTGTGAGTAGCGCACCCTCCATGCAGCTAAGTCCTAACATGGACGCGGTCTCGTCCATGACATACGGTTCCATCGTGTAATATGGGGTCCATATGTTTCCGGCCTCCTCTCTCCCCACGCCGAAGCTTCCCCTCCAAGTCCATTGTGCTTTCTACGCCACTGGCCGCGCGACCGCGGGGAACGCTTGCCGCGAATGCATCGTAGGAGAATGTGGAGAACTCGAGATGCACCATGTGAGAGATCTGGGCGTCTTCGAAGGATGCGGTGGTAATAAAGAAACCTGTTTCGACGGGCTCAATGTCGATTGTCCCAGAGAACGGGGCGGCTGTTCCCATTTCGGCCATGCGACTCCCTACAGTGTTCATATTCTGCATGGAATATCAGTACGTCGTAGAGCGGGTCGTATGAGGTCGTACTGGAAGAATACGGGGCGAAGTCGTGCAGAAAGGCGCGAAAGGTAGAATGTGGGCGGTCGGAGATTCAAACAACATCTTCCCACGACTTATCTACGTAGCCATCACCAAAACATAGCCCATTACGTCTGAGAAGCAAGAAGCGTTGCCCTGACCAAAGTCTAATTTACACTGCGCAGCTAAATTAAGATTTACAATTCAACGGCGCGGAAATCCTCCGCGGAACCGACAGCGCTTGTTCTCGCACATTCCCGACAACATCCAGTCGAAGTCGACGTCCTGAGCAAGTAGCCGAGCCTCCGGCGCCTCTCCAAATGTGACCTTACAAACTCCGTTAGAACGACCCATCCTCCAGTTACGCACGCGACGCGGACACTCATATCCACAAGGGCCATCGAGGTCGCGCGAGCTCACGAGCATTTCCAGCCACGGGAAAAGCGGTCCGATCTCATTGCCAACGAACTCGATATACCAAATCCAGGAAATGGATGGTGCCCATCCCGGCATCGAAAGGCGGTCCCTAGTCAGTCGAGGGTAAGGACAGACAAGGTACTCCCCGCCTAGAAAGTTCATCTGGGACGTGAACCGTGCCGTAAAGATGGTGGGCAGCACTGATGGTCCAGACGCGACGAGCAGGTAAATAACTTTATTCTAGGCATGGCAACAGATTAGCAATCGCGTACAGCACAAGAAATCGCCTCACATGGCTTTCGTGGGTGAAGGCGAAACAATCCTCCACCCTTCCTTCGTATTCCTCCCGACGGATCCCGTTGATGTGGCTACGATGGAGTCCATTAGCTTCTCCAGACGGGCTGAGTGTAGCACCTACCGCTTAAACCCAAGCATATTCTCGAACAATTGTCGCCAAGTGTCTACAGCGCTTGATGTGCACAGAATTTCCATGCAGCTTATATTGGCGTCCTTGTCTTCCTGGGCCGAAAAAGTGACCAACGCCAATGGGATTGCCGACACTACCGCAGATCGCGTCTTTTCTAGGAGGCGCAAGAAATAGACGACTACAGCGCGCGGCTGTGGAGCTTGATGGCCGTTAGTTACGGCGATAAACGGGGCAAGGCGATCTTCAACGCGTTGATAAAACACATCGCGCCCGGTGGCACGAGTGAGGAGATTGCACTGCGATAGGTAGCGGAAGTCTGGCCACGGGCACCACTCCATGATGGCGGTAACGCAGCCCACGGAAGAGAAAGCCTTTGCAGCAGCCATGGAGGGAGAACTTGGGGATCGAGGAAGAAACATATACATTGGCCAGCTTCTTAAGTACATCAGGTGCACAGTATGTCACGCCCAATCAACGCCTCTCTTACAAGCCTACCCCTTGATCAGATGGCACGGAGTACGTGAATCTAAGAAACGCTCACATCTTGACAATTGCCTTCGCCGAGATGATATCTCGGTCTGTCATATCATCCACGCCATCTTCTGTCCAGCGGCTTCCATCGTTGAACTCTGTGCGAACGACCAAAATGTTGCCGTACCAAGGCAGTGGCGACCGAGGTAGCAAGTGATGTATAATCTCGCTCTCCGGCTGGTCGTGGTAAGGATTGATAAGAGGATCCACTGGCTGAGGTAGGCAAAAAACCACATAAGCGTAATCGAGGGGGTCGGGGTCATCCATTGGCCAGTTACGGATGATTGCGAGGGACGATGGCACGTCCACAGAAGCCGTATGCCGCTCGTAGGCAGGGGTAACCCACCAGTAAGAATCGACGTCACGGGCATTTGCAGCCTTCTCGACGCCAACCATGAATGGGACGTCCACGAACATGGGGGTAGTGCACCCAGTAGGGAACAAGAGTCCCACAACGCTATCGCTGCCTGTTTCCTTCTACCAATATCATTAAACTTTTGAGTCGTGAGGCGGGCGAAGCAAATACCAATTTCAGGCCTTGAATGGTACATTGACGCTCTGCGATGACTTCCCGAGTAAAGGAAGGTACGGAACGGGGTGACTCGATGTCCATGTTGTCCTAGGCCCTATGCAAGAAGGGCAGACTTTATATGGCACATCGAAAAGATGACTCCTGAGTGTTGAGTAAACGCGCATAAGTCACAAGGTCACACGATGTGACAACAGCTTGTGACGTACTCAATTCTAACCGTCTTGAACCAGACGGACTTCTCCGAAATCGCACAGGTTGACCGGGAGATAGCTGCGCTGACATCTCAACTAATTCTGGCTGGCTATACGGGAGGACACAACTCATTTTGTTGGCATCTGGTACGAACTCGACTACCGTTTAATCACTATTCCACTCCTCGCTGTCCCATCCTAAACTTGGGGTGCTGGCTGTGGATGAGCTACCAAGGGAACTTGTCACAAACTCATAGTCGTCATCAGAACTCGACGCGTCTTCCTAACATGTGTTAGGCCCCCATTCCATGTTGCAAAGATAGTGTGCGTACGGAAGACACCTCGCGGTGGCGAGCCCGCACCAGCTTGATGGTCTTTGCCCTCACGACATAGGTCTACTCAACAAGTTAGCTAGGAACAGACACACGCGAGAAAAGCCTCCATGATGGACCTCCGTCTCCTCCGACAATGCACTTCCCTCCACGCGTCGCAACAACTCACAATCGGCGACGACGGTATCGCCAGAAGTCAAGGGGAATCTGGCCGGAGAAGTCCGCATTCGATAAGGTTCATACATCCAGTCGTTTACGGGAAGCAAAATCTTGGGAAAGAGCTCGCCCGGCGACATGTGAACGACGATCTTGTCTTGGGAACACCAGCTTTGAAACCGCAGACGCTGGCGTTGCAGGTCAGAACGGTGACAAAAATGCTAGCACACCCACCTGTGGACTGCCAAACAGAGATCGTCGATCTGTGGCGACAACTTCATTTAGTACGTGCATTTGCGCATCCCATGGCTCCGCGAAAGCAAAGACGTCCCATCCATATCTGCCCCAATCAGGCATGCCGAGCGTGAAACAGACTTCTTCGCCGTGTCGGATGAATGCAGGGAAGTCCGTCAGTTCTCCCATGATCACGCATCCGAAACTGTCGCTGGGCGCCATGTCACGGACCACAGTGAATGAACTCCCGTTTGGGGTGCTCAACGGAGGCGGGTGGAAGTCGAGGTGATAGCGAGCGTTGCCTATGAAGTTTTGGCCATGTCGGTGCAGCGCAGAGATAAGGTGAGTCGGTTTCAAAGTGCAATCTGGCGTCAACATCTGGGCTCCAGCACCAGCTCGACTGTGAATAAGGCCACGCAAAACATTCGCCAGAAGCAAGGAGGGTTCCGTGGAGTCAAGCATGCGGCGGTCTGGGACGAAACGCTCCTAGAGAAGAGGATTTATAGGCCGCGATGTAGTGGTCTTGCCACCTTGAAGACCGAGCCTCCTGCCCTCCCCCCCAACGCACTAGTCAGGCGACGATATGGAAGAAGCCCTTGCGTCCCATACGCTACCATCTGCCTTTGAGTTACTCCACAATTTCTGCCAGCTTCCCAGACGAGCGAAATCGACATGGAAGTCTCTCTTCCAATACATTTCCACTTTGGACCCACTCCTCCAACAACGAATCATCGCTGCGGCTAAAGTGACACCCGGCAAGAAGAGGAAGCAGACAACTCAGTCTGCGGAACAGTTGGGCGCACCTCCTCAGAAACGAGCCAAACCGAACGACGCGGGACCTCCCGAAGTGAAGGCAGAGTTATCGGAAGACTTCCTTCGAGTCCCTTCCGACGCCGTGATACGAGAATGTGTAACTAGGTAAAAGTACCGTCACCGTGTGCTATAGTGGATGTTGAATCCCACTTTAGGTTTATCGACCGCACTGGCAACTTTGCACTTGCCAAAAAAACCTGCATCGTCTGCTCGCGAAGGCATGTTTGCGACGGGTTTCGTACAATTACCTATGGCGCGAATCCCAAATAAGCATCTACTCCAACCAACGCATCCCCATCCTGCCCATCGTTTAATTGAAGGCGCGCTCTTCGACAACACGGCTTCAAGAGACAGTATGAATGATATCTGCGAAAGCTGCCTCCATTCCCTTAACAGAAGCGAACGACCTAAACTCTCGCTTTCAAACAATCTGTGGCTGGGGGACGTCCCGTTCCAGCTACAGATACTCACATTGCCGGAGCAACTCTTGGTCGCCCTCTACTTCCCAACTGCGTACATAACGAAGATCTTTCCAAAGAACGTGACCCCCGTTGCGAGCAACGACGCCCAACTCTTTTCTAACGAGAAGCTGCGAGGGAATGTGTCCACTTTTCGACTACCGACTTCGGAAATCGCCGACATGGTTGCTGGTCTTCTAGTTCCCAAACCTTCTATCCTGTTAGCTGCGTTGATTGGGGTGACTTTCGTGGGTGTAGGGAAACGGGGGGCTGAAGTGTCTTCCAGGGCTGTTTAGAGTTCGACGAAAACGGGTGCATGACGCTCTCATGTGGCTAAAACAAAATAACCGGCTGTACGAAGACGTCGTTATCTCTCAAGAGAGACTGCTTTCGTTGCCAGAGGACGCTGTGCCTGATGAGATTCTGGATAACGTCCGGTTTTCTGACGACATCGCCGCAGTAGGTCGCGAGCATGCGGGACATGTCCCACAAGAAGACGTGGATATTGACTTGCTGCTCGGGGATGAGATGGAGGACATCAATGAACCGCAAACCGCGGACATCCTTGCGCGGGGGGGCGACGAATTAGCAGCGGAACACTACACAGATTCCGAAGAGGAACGTATGCACGCGCTCAATGAAGCTCTGGAATTGGAAGGTGCGATACTATCTCACAGTTCTCTTACCTTTCTTCAACTCTGTTCAGACCCTCTGGATCACGACGAGTCTGAGGATGAGCAAAGCCGCGGCGAGCAATCCGGAATATCCGATCGAGCTCAAAGCGACACAAGCACGGAGTGTGCGTAAAGTATCAGATGATCCTGCCGAACACTAAATGTCCTCAGGTCCGCCCGTATTTCCTCTGCAGGCCCACGGAGTTATCGACGTAGGCGGAGACAATATACCAGATGCGACAAATTTTCGCCCATGCTGTTGAAAACATGTTCCCTGCAGAGACCGCACAAGATTACGGGATACGGAAGGGTAGCGCATTCGTCAATGAATACGGTAGGAGGGATGAGAACCACGAACGGTTTGACGGAGGTCCATCCAACCCTAATCACCTGTTGGGGGCGTTTCCCATTCTCTTCCCGTATGGCTTGGGAGGGTTTGAAGTCGATCGACCGGTCAAGATCTCATATGAGGAGCAAGTCAAGTGGGCACTCCAGCATACGTCGGGCCGGTTTCGCCGCCACACTTCATTCATCTTCCAAGTGTTTGGGGTCCTCTGGAAGCGCCAAGTTTGTCGCTCCGCGGCTCTACACGTCGATCACGACAAGTTCTTATCCGATTACGGCGAATTCATGCGATTAAGGCCTAAGGACTTGTTGGACGCAAGTGAGGAGGAAAACCATCAGGTCACCATCTCTAACCCCGTCCTCCGCCTTCTGCGTCAACACATCACGACCGTGCGCTCCAAAGTTGTCGGAACTGACGAAAACCGTGTCGGAATAAGAGCCCAGATATGGGGTATGACACTAAAATTCAATCCTCCAACAATATGGACCACCATCAACTTATCCGACACCAATGACCCTATCGCCCAAGTGCTAGCTGGACAAGAAATCGACTTGGACAACTTCATAGCTAAGGCCGGACCTAACGCCTCCGAGAGGGCCCGCATCATCTCAACTGACCCATTTGCCGCAGCAGAGTATTTCCACCTCGTGGTGAAACTGGTGCTGTCTGAGATGATCGGTGTGACAGTCGGCGCCAAAGGTGCATTTTCGAGGAGAGAAGGAATATTTGGCGTAGTAAATGGCTACATTGGCACCGTGGAAGCGCAAGGTCGTGGTTCGCTCCACCTGCACATTCTATTCTGGTTGCAAGGGGCGCCGACGGCCGATGAGATGCAAAAGGCGTTGAAGTCCGACTCCTTTCGAAGCAAAATTCGAAATTTCATTCATCATAATATACGGGCCGACGTACCGCGCTGACAGAGAAGTCACGTCAACGTGGCCAAAAATCAAGCGTGGCTTACTCAAGACCGATAGACCCGCGTTTACCCGACTACGCTGAACGACAACAAAGAACTGAAGAGCGCAACGCTGCGGTGCTCCAGTCCCACCAATGTTCGCTATACTACTGTCTCAAAAATAGGAGTGGAAAATTAATATGCAAACGGGGACACCCCTGGCCGACGTACGACGACGACTGGGTGGACAGCGAGGGGAATTGGGGACCCAAAAGACGATCTAGCTTTATTAATCCTTGGAACCCGCCAATTTTCTCTGTTACCCGCTCTAACATGGATATCAAGCTCTTGACTAATTCCTGGGAAACCAAGGACATCGCCTTCTACATAACGCTGTATATTGCGAAGAAACAAGTCCAGGCTGCTAACGCCTCCGCGATCCTGTCGACCAGCAAAGCTTTCGCCCGACGACAAGGGGGAAGTGTCCTCAACAAATACTATTCAGAAAATCAACAAAAAAATGCTTCAACAATGCGCAAATACACTTGGTCGACAATATGAACTCAGCGGTCCTGAGGTGGTAAGCTACTTGATGGGCTGGGGCGATCGTTACATCTCCCATACCTTTGTCAAAATCTACTGGGACTCGGCGACGGCGGCCCTGCGGAGGGCTTTTCCTCACCTTGTGCATTCAGCTGGGTCCGCACAGCTACTGGCGTCGATCTTATACTGACATTCCGACAGGGGCGACGGTGTGAAGCACTCGGAAGGAGAGGTAAATTTTCGACTCGTCCTATACCTCGAGCTTCTGATGCAACTCCAGCGAGTGAAGCTGCAGATGGAAGACGGGAAACTCGTCGTCCAAGACCAATTAAGCCAGTACGCCGATAGAGGGGACACGTTGCTACACATGAACCTATACGATTTTCTCCTCTTAACCTACCACGATGGGCAAGTAAAAGCACGCGAAACAGAAGATAATGACGCAGTTCCAGCAGTCAGACGACGAGGCAGGCCACCCAGCGAGAGACACCCCTACCTCGAGTCCTCAGAGCGCAGAGGAGCAAGGGTGATACGCGGGCCAAAGCAAGAGACTGCGCTGCATATCGTGGGCAGATGGTTGCCCAGCCGAGCCGACTCTCAACAAGAATATTATTCAGCACAGCTGCTGCTTCTACTCAAGCCCTGGCGAAAACTAAGTGACTTGCACAACGGCCACGACTGTTTCGTGGACGCGCGCGTGGCCTTCGAAGGCAGCGCTCCAGCCGAAATTCACCGCCTAATCACAAATATCGAATACTACCATGAGTGCTCCTCCAGCGCAAAGCGCGACGCAGGACTGAGTACGGCGACGCGGATGGTTTCGCAGGCCACACGTCGATACCGGCCACCAACAGTGACTTCTCCCCTCCACTGGCAGTAACATACACCGAACAAGACGTCATTAATGCACGAGCTTGTAAATTCACTGCCGCTGAACTAGCGTACGGCAATCGTGCAATGGAGGTCGCACGTGCAGCCGGAATGTTTGGCAACAATCATAACCCTGCGGTGGCGGAACGCCCTCTGCTAAAACCTGTATCGGAAGCTGATGGTTCTCGATATCGAGAATGGGAAGCTAAAGTCGCACAGATTTCACGCACTTTGCCTGTAGCCCAAAGCCCAACTCCGTCCTCCGCTGATCGGGGTGGGATAGACTCCTCTTTGAGGTTTCCTAACGACACCGACACGCCGATGGTCCGTGTAATACCCGGACAAGGGGCCCATGTTCGTACTTCTCAACAACAGTGGGCTGTAGACCGATTGAACGAGGAACAACAACGAGCTCATAACATCGTGGAATCCCATCTGCTACGTCATCTTAAGGGTGAATCTCCCCCTCAACTCCTAATGATTATCCAAGGCGAAGGAGGAACGGGGAAAACTGCGGTGCTGGAAGCGATTACCCACACCTTCGACTTTCATAACTCAAGATCGTTGTTAGCCAAAACAGGTACAACTGGCATATCCGCAAAGCTTGGTTTCAGGGCAAACGCTGCACCATTGGGCCGCCATTCCCTTCAACGTATCGGAAAAAGAGGATTGGATTAGCAGTATGTGTTGATTATCTTGAAAGAGACGCACTGATGAGCTTCAACTCAGAAAGCGGGAAGAAAATCGTCGATAGGAGAAAGCGAAACATCTTACCTACTCGCTATCTCGTCGTCGACGAGTTCTCCATGCTCACTAAGAAAGTATTAGCGAAGTTATCACACATCATGGGCTTCGTCAAGGCAGGAGTAGGCCAAGCTCCTCCATCCCTTCCCTTCGGCTCGATCAGTGTCATACTGGTGGGAGACCCACACCAATTTCCACCAGTGGGCAACCCCACAGCATCCCTCTTCAACCCTGCTTGTGACACCACTCTGTTGTCGCAAATGGGACGGTCATTCTACGAGCAATTCACTGTGGTTATCACCTTGACTCAACAGAATCGAGTCAGAGACCCAGAATGGAACCAATTCCTGAAACGGCTGCGCGTGGGCGAATGCACGGAGGAAGATATGGATATGTTGAGGTCACTAATCATACGCAAAGACAGCCCGATCCGTTGGGACTGTGCTCCTTGGCGAGACGCCGTGTTAGTGACACCCCGGCACTCAGTGCGAACGCAATGGAACACTGCCGCCCTGGAACGTCATCGCAACGCCTACGGGTTACACAGTTTACGTCTCCAAGGCAGAAGACAGTGTGGGTCGACCCGCTCGAGCTCTCACCATGAATGAACGCGTCTTAGCGGCGGGAGTCAACGACGACAAACCGGGTAAACTGGCGGAGTTCGTGGAAATCTCCATTGGCATGAACGCCATGGTCCTATGGAACATAGCAACGGAGGCAGACCTGGCGAACGGTACCCGCGGAACCATTGTTGACATCAAATTAGACCCCCGCGAAACCACTCCCCTGGTCAGAGGAAAAGGAGGAAGAGTCATGTTGCAGTTCCCACCGTGCACGGTCTTCATCAAGATCGATCAATTCACTTTTCCTTCCTTCGAAGGTCTTGCACCGGGTGTGCTCCCTATCGCCCCAACTGCCGCGAGCTTCTCGATAACGACATCCCCCAAAAAATACACTACGATCAACCGCCGCCAACTGGCTCTCACACCAGGCTACGCGTTCACAGACTACAAGTCACAAGGTCAAACTCTCGCCTACGTGATCGTTGACCTGGAACAACCCCCTCATGGCCGCATGACACCATTTAACGCATACGTAGCACTGTCTCGAAGTCATGGAAGGGACAATATCCGACTGCTCCGAGGAATAGATCCAAAAATGTTCACCACCCACCCTTCCGATAGCCTACGCGCGGAAGATAACCGACTCTCCGCACTAACGAACGCAACTCGCCATAGATACCCATTGACAGTCGTGGAACCACTGCTCCCACCCCCCACTTCTCAACCCCTGTAGCACTGAAGCGCTGTATGATTTCTCAATAAATCGGGAAATGGCTATATATGAAGACCACAGTCGCTACCACTACTTGCTCCAGTGACCCATGCCTCGAGCGTCCCTCATACCTCGGTGGACCACCCGCTGCGCCCATTGCGGACAAACGGAACCCCCTCGGCGTTGCTCAGGCTGCCAGGTCGCTCGTTATTGTGACACCACTTGCCAGAAGGGCGATTGGCAGGACCATAGATCGGCATGCAACGAACACGCTTCAAGCCTTCGCAATATCAGGGACCCTATCATAGCCAGCATCGTTCAGTATTTTGCGAAATTTGTTGATGACTGGCGCCTATCCTTCGCTCAATGGGCGCTTTTCGCCGCCGATCTTGGTAATCATGCACCAGATTTTCTTGAACATCACTTGTACGTGGACCTGTCTCCACGAACGCGAGGTACTGAATACTCGAAGTTTTGCGGTGAAAGTCCAGCCAGCAAACGATAGCAGTCGCAGGCACCGACGCTCCACATTTGACGTGCGTCACTTGGCCAAGTTGCTAATCCACTCATCTGGCATAGGTTGTTGAATGTGGTATGTTCGCCGACCAAGACTTCATGACGATGGCTCCCCCAGAAGCTATCAAACACGGCCAACCCGCCAACAACGAGCGCGAGTTTACCACTGAATTCCAAGAACTCACCAAAGCAAAGGACGTTGTGCGTATGATCGTCACCTCAAACGTAATATGCCACGATGTACACTATCGGGGTCGACGAGATTTTCCCCCCAGAGTTGAGAGGCTGGGTTGGCAATCCTCGCATTACAACGTTCTTCCGCACGGTGTTCATCACGGAATTCAACGCGGCGGTTGCAGCTGGACATGGTAGGCATTGATTGCAGCTTGAAGAACTACCTCACTATGTCGCAGTCCACGCTTCCCTTCACCGCGCTGTCGAGCTACTGGTGTACATCCTCACGGGAAAGATTGTCCGTCTACCGGGAAACGAATGAGCTGATCGCCGCAGCAAATGCTTAAAGTAGAATATCTATTTCAAGAGCGACGAAGCGGCCCGCTTCTTAAGCCACGTGGAATGTACCTGTACTTGCTGATCGATGGGAAATATACTTGTTGTTGAACCTTACCCATTTACTCCCCGCCATGATATGCCGCTTCTACTTCCCCTCCTGCTAGAGATCTTCCGGTCTACGCTGAATCACCATGGACCCCATTCAGCTACATCAAGAAACCTTCACCGCGAGCGCTGACCAGCACTTCAAATGGGCCAGAATGGAAACGGCATATCAATGCATTCCTGAAGGTCAGCTAGTGCTATGCATGGGAAGGGAGTTATGGTACGCCATGCCTCCACCGTACCGCGAGCATGCAACCGATTGCTCACATCACTACAACATATCCCTGACAACCTGCGAACTGCATCGCGTCGAATGGCAGGTGGACCTTCCAGCCCTTATATGGGGAACCAAGCGTCTCGCTAAGTCCCTCGGAAGTGTGCAACTGGGAGGAAATCCAAGCTTCTTGTCTATGCGACATCCAAACAGACACGGAGTACCCGATGCTCGTAGCCGGATGCCGCGTAACTATATACCCGTCCTCACGATACCCTCTACCCAATATCGAAGTGGCTTCATTGTGGACACCGACGGCAAGGGACTTTGTCGAATCCGAGTAAGCAGGGCCGGAGAAAGCCTTAAGGTCAATTCTCCTACGTTAATAGACGACCTGCTCAGCACCGAAGACGGGCACAACGACGAAGTTGTCGCAGACCAATCGTATCTACGACCACATTTTATCACCGGCGCAATCCAACTTCACGTCGGGGACCGCGTCGTGGTACTTAACGGCCCTCACGCGAAAAGAATAGGAAAAATAGAGCGAATCCATGGAGCTCGTCAATCGACACTCCTCACGTTGACGGACAACCAGGTGCCTTTCACCAACATTGCTATCTGTAATGTTGCGCGTGTGTTCCTGCCAGGGGACCCCGTGGTCATACAACATGGGGCGCACAGCGGCATCCGAGGACATGTTGAAGGGACGTTCGCCTTAAGGCGTCTCCCCAAGGACTTTATTCAGTTTCCCCCAGGTGGAGTCCGGGTGATCCTGGTGCGCTAACTGTGGCATGTACTGCCAAAAGAGCCATACTGATATCCCTTGAAGCAGCATAGCAACGCGCATGTAAGCCTCCAAAACCAAATATGAGATTATACCATCTAATGCATGTCAGGTGGACGTACCCACGCAGTTTATCAAACTCGATGGTCGCGCGACGGGCGGACGACATTGAAGCGGTGGAGGTGGAGAATCACTGGCTCGCTCAAGATAAGTTGGTGGGCAAACAACTCGACGTTAAGATCGGCCCGATCCTACGGGGAAGGATCTCTGAAAAGCAGTCTAAAGCTGTAGGAGAATACGGCCAAATCGTCCTTAGCGCTCCCGTATCCCCCCAAACCTTCGACATTCCCATTCAAGTTCAGCTATCAGGTGGCACGGAGCATGTACGAGTTGCACCTCAATGGCTACACCCCGTCGTTGAGCTTTCAGGGGACCGCAACCAACAAACACGATTCGTCGTCATAGGCAAAGACACACAAAACATGAGTACTTTTGTTGGGAGGTATGCGACCACCGCTATTTCTGCCACCCATGAGTGGCCTCTAACGGTCACGGTATGGAACGACACAGGAACTTTGCCGACTACGACACAGTTTCCTAAAGGTTCTCTCTGTAGGTCAAGTGGGACCGATGCTTCACATGCAATCCAGTGGTAGCCCTACACAGTAGTCGTAGCAGGTATACACTTATTGTCAAGGACCACATAAATCTTATATTGACTTCTGACTAATTATTTGTGCATGTTTGTTTTTGTAGTTTACACTTGTTTGTTCTGAATTTATGATAGACGGGACCTAGCTAAAGCAAGGTAATAATAGGCACATAGACGAAATGTCAAACGTATTTGGTGGCGATGTGACTGGGTTGCTTCCTCCTTCTCTCGCAACAACCACGATGAAATAACCACCTCAAGTAAACGCTCCCAAACTCAATTGGCACATGGGCCAAAATTAACCCAACGCTGCACAGCGATGCCGCCCGCCGACCAATCTTTCCCGAGGATATAACATGGGCAATGACGTTTTCGCCCTTGTCATCGGAATCAACGACGTAGGGACTATACTTCGTCCACAGAATTGTGTGGCTCATGCTTCCAGCAGTATTTTGCGAAAGATGATTTTGTAGCTCTGCAAGGGGCGGTCAACGACTCTCGAGCGTTTGTCAAGTTCCTCCTCGACCCAGTCGAGCAACACGGGCTCGGCGCGTCTCCCGAGAATATCGTGCAGCTAGAAAACGAGAAAGCGACTAGACAGGGCATACTTTCTGCATTCGAAACCCATTTCCTCAACAACGAGAAGATCCCTGACCATGGCGATGCCACAATGATTCTCTTTTTCGCTGGTCACGGCGCACGGATGTCAGTGCAGGGCACGGCGATCGAGGTGTTATGTCCCGTGGACGAGCGCACGGTAGATGTGGCGGGGAGCACAGTCTATGCGATTCCGGATTATGTTTTGGGTTGGTTATTGGCGGAGCTGGAAAGGAAGAAGGGCCCCAATATCGTGTGTTTCTTTTTTCAAGAGTCGATTCAGGCTGACAAGTCTGTAGACCGTTATTCTCGACTCCTGTCACTCCGGCGGCATGAATCGACGCGAAGATGACTTAGGTCTGGTTCGGGCTGCGTCGTCTCCTTCTGAAGAGGTCCCTGCAACTCTGGATGCACATTTCTGGCCCAACGGGAGAGCTGCGACAAAGAACTACAGATTATGGGCTCCCACCTCCTCGTCTCACATTCTCCTTGCTGCTTGTCGTCAGGAAGAGCAAGCTCGCGAGGGTTGGTCGACAGATGGCTTGATGCATGGAAGGTTCACTGCAAAACTCCTCAGCAGACTACGGGGCCTTCCATTACACCATACAACATACGAGGAACTTATCGCTTATCTTCCACGTCTACCTGACCAAACGCCACACTGCGGAGGACAACGACGGCATAGTTTGGTTTTCGATGGCTTTTTTTCATTCCCTGGAAGTGAATCTTGGAGCTTCCGACGAGTTTCTATCGAGGGTACCCAATTCGAAAACTATCCCAGCTGGGTGATAAATGCTGGAACTGTGGAGGGTGTGGTCCCTGGGACAGAATTTAGTGTCCGCCTCCCTGATTCCAAGTCTACTGTTTTCTGCACCTTGGTCGCACGGACCGTGCAAATCAATCACACCATCGTCATTCCCGACATTACTTCCCGAGCGGACCAGACTTGGAAGAACATAGTTCCCGGCTCTCGTGCAGTCATCTCCAACTGGAAAAACTCGTCTATAATTTCTCACGTTTTCGTCTCATCGACGTTCCAATACACGAATCATTTGTTTCCTTCAAACCTCCAACGACATCAAGCAGGGATGCTGTTTGTTCAAGCCGCAACAGAGAACGGGGCTGATATTTCACTTTCTAACGAAGATAATGAGCTCGTCATTCAATGGCATACCCAGAAAAAGCTTGGAAAAGTACGACCTGAAACCCGCCTCAAGCTTGAAGCGAAGCAAATTGAGAACCTGCCACTTATCATCGACGGCCTGGTCCGCTTCTGTTATTTCCTTGAACGGGAGAACGAAGCTTGGCTCATGACCGGCGTGTCGCTCGAGATGCATCGTGTGGATGGGTTGCCACCGATCAGCAAACCGGATTCTAAGTTCGGGATCAACGGCAATTTGGTGGAGAATGGGGTCGTCCAGCTCGTTTCGCAAGATGATGCTTATTACGGATTCACGGTCCGAAACGAGAGCGGGCATGACCTGTTCCCGTATATGTTCTTCTTCGACCCCGTTCGGTACACGATCGACGTATGTGTGGCTCCTTCCAAACATCCTTTCTGCCTGAAACAAATGATCCAGCTATGGTACGAGCCTCCCGACGGCCGCGTGCTTTCCCCGCTGCGGGCCGGCAGCACACTCACCGTCGGTATGGGCACGGAAGATGGCATCGAGTTCTTCCTGGAACCGGACGAGACAACAAGCTCGGGGTTCGTTAAACTCTTTTTCGCCACGAGTAGCCTTGAGCTGGGCTGGATCGCTCAAGCTCAGTCGCCGCTGGACCCGAGCTTTGTAGACCGGAACCGAAGTGACACGGACGAAGTTATTGACGATAAAACACAGGGGGCGCAGCAGTGGGGTGCGCTGGATGTGTTGGTGACTATGATACAAGCATGAATTTGCACGATACTTTCACGATACCTTCACTTGAAGGACTAAATTAGTACAACGAGTTGTCAGTATTCGGAATACGACTCATGAGGAACGGGATTACCTATAAAGACGGATTACCTTTGTACTTCTCCTTGTAAGACCAATCCAAGAGTAAGGTGTTCGGTATGGGAGCAAAAGTATTACTTACCTGTTGATGGACGAAGTAGCTCCGCCGTCCACCCACAATTCGCGGGAGGACTGTAGATGATTTTACGTAGGGGTGGAGACACTGAAAGGTATTTAATGTGGTCCCTGACTCGATTGGAGTCTCATCCTGGAGACTCCGAGTACTAGGCTCGAACCTGCGACCTCTCTATAGCTACATTGAGTAGCTCTGAAAGTAACCGATTTTGTCACGGACGGTCCGCTATAACTGGTTCGAGCAACACCACGATCACCTTGCCCAGCCTGAAACCCAGGCCCGGCCAGCTTGTGCAGCTAGCGCTGAGCGCGACCTTCTTTGCTCTCTTCTGTCCATCTCTATGGGCTCCACACGTCACAATTACCGCCATAAAACTCTCTGAATTCGGTCGTGGTTCGATTTGTCCTGGAGTAGTCCTGCAGAAGAACGAAAAAAGATGTGTCGGACTGCCAGTGCCGCCGTCAAGTGGCACTTGCCATTCGCGTCCGACAGGTCCGTTCCTGCGAAGCTGAAACGATGGATGTGTTGGATCGAAAGGATGAATGCAGAGGATCAGTGAAGCCAGGTTGCAGCTTTGCCGCCAGTGCTCCGACTCATGGAGAGTCGGGGCCCAATCATTGTTGTGAGTGCGTGAAACGTTGAGCTGGTGTCTTATCTTGCTGATGACTCAAGACATTCGAAGGGTTGGGCGTTGTTCGCTTCAGCGGCGCGGGGGAAAGCACATCTGTCATTTAGACGTTGCTCGCCCGATTGCAATATAACCGGTATCGCTGCACGCAAACATCGCCATCCACCATGCCTCCTCACACACAAACGACTGCACGCAATCGATGGGATGGAGCTATCACAAAACTTTCGAGCGCTGTCGAAACCCTGCAGGTCGTCGCTGCTGGGTTCAAAACTCCCTTCCTGGAGCCGATCTGTCTCGCTGCACGCTCGATACTGTCTACTGCTGAGGTATGCGCCATTTTTGGGCGGACAAATTTGAGGACTCACATAGGAGAGCAGACAATGAAGACAACCAGGAATCACCTTCACATAATGGAAGACGTGAACCAGCTACTCCTTGCCGTTATCGCCTTGCATATTACCTCCAACCCCGATGTGGAACTACGCCCATTGTTGCTTGAAGAGTTGGGCCGCGTAGTCAAGTTTGTCTACCTTTCCGACCGCTCTTTGGCCTTGCTGAATTTGACAACTGCACAAGGTGTTTTCGCTTCTTGAAGCAGAGCAATCGACTAGCCGGCTCAATCTTCGACGTCTTTTGCGTCACGGGGAAATCTCCACCATGCTGAACGAGTGTAAAGAGGAATTGACAAATGTCATTGCCTCTCTTAAGGTGAGCACACACTTGATAAATATTCTAACATGTTTTGATCATTTCCCTCTAGTTGTACTCGGTTGGGCTTACTGAAATCATTGGGACAATGCAGCTCGACATGGAGAACATGCATCAGCAAATTTTGGAGCTTACCAATGGGTTGTCGGACTCGGATGGAGACTCTGTACGTGTTCTGGTATTCAAGGAGCAGAACGCTAATGACCTATGTACATAGCTGAAGAGAAGTGTGTCATTCCGGTCTCAAAGCAGGTGCTTTGCGTATCATGCTATGTGTTGTTATATACTGAGGCATTTCTTAGCGACAGCCTTCTCTCCATTCTTCCCTCAAACCCTAAAATATTCCACGGTCGCGAAAACGAGCTCGAACACGTTGTCATTTTGTTTACAAGTGATGACACTCCCCGAATTGCTATCCTTGGACCTGGCGGAATTGGCAAAACAAGTTTAGCTCGAGCTGTCCTCCACCATCCAACAGTTGTCTCCCGCTATCCAGGTTCAGGCCAGTGTTTCTTCGTAGCCTGTGATGTTGCATTGTCAGCACAAGACTTCCTTGTCCTGATCGGCTCACAACTGGGATTGCAAGTAGGGAGAACCTTGCGTCGCGAAATAGTGGCCAAACTCGATAACGGACAGCAGCACCTGCTCGTGCTGGACAATATGGAGACGTTATGGGACCCAGTTGAATGGCGGAATGAGGTCGACGATGTTCTTGGTTTTTTGGGCAGCATTCCTAATCTCGCGCTTCTTGTGAGTATCTGGCTATCTTTTCAATCCGCAGGATTCATAGCGTCCTTAGATTACTATGCGCGGTGCCGAACGACCCGCTACAGTCCAATGGACTAGACCCTTTCTCCCGCCGTTAGAGCCGCTAACGGAGATTGCTGCGCGACAAACCTTTTTCGACATTGCGGATGAGTCATCCGTGTCCGAAAGCGGGGTCCAGGATATCTTGCAACTGACGGACAACGTCCCACTGGCCATCACCCTTATGGCGCATCTGGTGGATTCAGAGGGGGTCGCGACAGTATTATCACGCTGGGACGGGGAAAAGACCGCCTTACTTTCAGATGGATTTGACAAACGATCCAACCTCGACATCTCTATCTCCCTCTCCCTCTCCAGCCCGCGTTTCCAATCCAATTCCCACGCAATGGATCTCCTCAGTCTTCTTTGCATCCTTCCCGATGGACTTGCGGAGAGCGACATTCAGCAACTTCCTATCCAAAACCCACTAGGATGCAAAACGGCGTTACTCCGCACCTCCTTGGCATACGTTTCTGCCAACGCCAAACGAATAAATCTGCTCGTACCCATTCGGGAGTATGTCCGCCGACATCACCCACCCGCAGAGCACCTCATTCAGCCTATCTTCGAAAACTATCTCCACACCCTCGCTGCATCTAAGGACTACTATGGCGTAATCCCTAGCGGCAATCTCATCGCTCGCATCAATGCCAATTTTGCGAATATCCAAACTCTCATGGCATTTAAACTACTTGATTCAGACACTTCAAATTTCGAGGACCTCGTTCGGTGCGCTGTCTATGCCAACATCTTCAGCCGTACTGTAGGCAAGGGTGAAATACCTTTTCTCGCCCAGCTCGACACGCATGGTCGGTTCGAAATGCTGAGTATCAGCCCCACGCTTGAAGTCCAATTTCTCTCCGAACGTATTTCGGCATACTACTACAAGCTCGTGCCCGGACCTGCTTTGATCGAACGCGCACTTGCGCTCTTCCCGAGGCTCGAGGATGCGCTGACGAAATGTTAGTAAACCTTGCAACAAACCCGCAACTTTTTTCTAAAGCATTTTTCAGGCACATTATATAGCTGTGCCAGCGACTTTTATCGGAATAAGTCTGAATTCGCCTTGGCCAAAACCTACACCGAAAAGACGCTCGCCCTCTCCAGGGCCATTCACAACACTCGACTTCAATGTAGCGCTTTTTGCTCGATGTGTATTATCGACCTCAGATCGGGAAATCCCCTCAGGGCGTTTGGCCACGCGCGTCAGGCAGAAGCACAGGGAAGACTTGGCGGCGACTTGTGGTCCGAGGCAGCCGGACTGCGCGGCGGCGCGTTGTGCTTGAGCCGCCTCGGGGCCTATGCGGAGTCAATTGAATGGACAACGCGAGCGAGGCGGTTGCTAGCGCTCTGCGACATAGCTGGAAACCAGTTGGATATGTCGCTGCTGATGGGCCTCGGGGAGGTGCACGCCAAAAAGACAGAATATCTCGCGGCGAAAGCGGTGTATGAGGAGATATTGCGGTACCGCCCTGTGGACCGGCTGAACGGCATGCACGTCGTCTTGTTGGTTAATCTCGCGGAAATCAGTGTCGCGTTGGATCTTCCGGTCGAGGAGACTCAGCGGCACATCGATCTCGCGCGGACTATTGCGGGCAACATCAAGTGGTGGCCCGGTCGCCTGATGTGCGACCTGGCGCAGGGCGAGCTGCTGCTCAGCCAGCAGGAGTACAGTCGTGCCAAAGTTGTCATGGAAAAGGTGGTGGTGGATGCTGTGAAGGAGCTGGACATACATAGCGTTTGCTGCGAGAAGTTGGCAGACAGGGACTTGTGGGACAGTGATTCGTGGGACCCAAAATGGCCAACCGTGTTGCTAGCCCAGGCGGGGCGAGAGAAGCAGCACCGACTCTGGTGCAAGGCGCTACAATGCTTTGGGACTGGTGCTTTGGCGGAAGGCGACGTCATGACTGCCCGCAGTTTGTTTGTCGTGGCTCTCGAGGGATTTACGCAGATGGACATACATTGCAGTCGGGCGGAGTGTTTCTGGAAACTTGGGATAATTGCTGAGGGAGTGGGGGACAGGGCGGGGGCGGTGGAGAATTGGGATGCGGCTAGGCTTTTGTTTGAGCGAGCGTCGCAGGCAGCTCGGGTGACCATAGTCCAAAAGAAGCTAGCGGATTATACAACTTCTCGATGAACACATGGAGACGGAGCTTGATCAACGCTGGCACAAGTATCTAATGAGCCTGATTAGAGGTATTGTTATCAACCTAGAAAAACTGTCTTCTTCTGGAAGTTCTTTTTGACTACTAGGTTGTAAGGTTGATATATAAGTATTGTATCATTTACACTATATTGATTCTTTGAAAATAATATCTGAGTCACCTACAGTTACGGACAATCAAAGCTGACAATTCTTTAAAACTTAAATTTGTGGCCCAGCTATCACTGCTATGAGAAATCTAAGTTCAGATTCAGATTCGGAGGATCTGAAAGCCCCTATGTAGTATTTACGTAATTTTCCCACGTCATATAAGGGGTGTTGAATATTTTGGACCTGTGGACCAAAACCTTTATACACCTTTTCACCTCAAAAATGGTTGTCATAATTTTTTTTAAAAAAAACTAGGTATGTACTCCTGCCTTTTCCAGCTCTGCTAAAATTGTACTATTACATGCTCTGTGAGACCTCTGCTTCTTAACTGCCCATGCTGCTGCTTTCCCTGTTAATTTTAAACAGTATGCACTTATAAATCTCCAAGAGCGCTGAATAAAGCGATAGATAACATCTGTAGGACATCCATCCAGATACTCAAGTGCCTGTTCTTTAGCTTCCTCAAAAGTCTTTAGAATGCTCCCTATAGCAGTATTTACACCATCCCCAATACATTTCAATTGGATTCAGTTCACAGTGGTCATGATTTCTCCATAACTAAAGGTAGGATTGTCCCGAAACAAGTCCAGCTGAATAGAGCTCAACGAGACCTTTCTTTTGATACCCCATACATCATGATAGCGTGAGATTTTGGGGGTGTCGAAGATTTGACAGGTACTTATCCGGCACTAAAAAGTTATAATTTTGACAAAGTTTAGATAGTTTCTGGAAGGAAAAAATTCCCTCTTTCCAGCTGTACACTTAGTTTCTCATTCCTACGTACCAATTTTGAGTAATACAAGTTGTCAGCTTTGATTGTCCGCAACTGTACCTGTAAGTTGTTTAAAATTCTACTATACTGCAGTATTTTACTCAGTTTAAATGTCACATATCACACTTGCTATAAAATTCGATTTTCACAGCCGTGATTCAAAACTGTTCAAGTGGGCAATGTTACTGGGAATATATAAAGTTTTTTTTGGCCCAAAACTCATTGAAAAACATTAAATATTTTGGGCCTGAAGATCCTTTCACCCCAGCGAAGTAAAGCATTTTTCAGGCTGAAAAACTCAAAAAAAAAATTGAACAAAAAATCAATTCCAAAACTTGACATATTAGAGATTATCAGCAGCGGCGAAAAACGACCTTCAATAATTTTGAAACTGCTCCCAAATATTGTGAACAGATTTTGAATATGCTAAGAGTTTTCAGATTAAAGTTTTGAGTCTTGCGAAAGGGTGCCGGCTACGCCGTTGAATCAGGATCGTATCGGTGATGGCACCAGTGCTTACATACACACCTCGGCCTTCGTGTTGACTCAAACGAGTCAAACGTCTTGTGCCAGCGTCTGCCCGTCTGCTCTGACCAGCTCTCATATCAAGCACATAAAACACAGCCGTGTTTCCGGGTCTCATCTCCTAGGCACCCAGACACTGTCCATACTCCAGACCCTGCAGCTGCGTGTGCATTGTGCAGTCAGATGTGCCACGGTGGTCGTGCTCTGTTACACAAACTGGTGTTCCACAACTCCACTACCGGGTGAGATTGTTTATAACCCTTAAATGGGCATGCTAAACACAGTACTGACTCCACTGTGGATCAGGTTTGACTGCGCTGTGGACACATTATAGTGGCTCTTTTTGCTGGTTATGCAGGGAGGATTCCAGTTTTTACGGATATCGGGAGAGATTAAAAGGTGCGCAGGTCAATACTCTCCAACTCAGATTTGATTCTGCATAGCACGACTTCAACTATGCAAGGCCACAGCAACTCGCCGTTCAACCGCCACCCACTCCTGCCAGGCCTTAAAGAGGCATTCCCTGACTTCACATTTGAGACGACTGGCTTCGGCGACAATGCTGAAGTCGAATTAACTTCATTGGGCCTCAAGTCTCCTCGCTACAAGGGGGGTAACACTCCTGGGTGTGTCTTTTTCCTCGTTCTATTGACAGTGACTCATGAATTGGTCCAGTGGAAACCACTCTCCTCAGCGCTGTTGTGTCTGGAAAAAGATACCCACAAAGGCTGGAATGGTAGTAAATTGATCACATGACAGAAATCGTGGGAAATCATCAAGGAATAGGTGATTTGATGGGCAAGAGTCATTTGGAGTCAATCTGAGTCAGTCTGAGTCATTTGGGAGTTCTTGACAGGCATAGCCTCAATGACTCACACTGAGTCACACTGAGTCAGTTGAGTCAGAGTGAGTCAGTTGGAGTCATTTCATTAACCCCAATATGGCAGGAAGTTCTCGTGAGGAAAGGTATATAAAGGAGGCCATTTTTCAGTAGTAAGTAAGTACCCTCTAGCGCAGAACTCAGTGTCACTCTTGATTTACATAATCAATTGACATCCTTCCCACCCTACTTCTGTGGCTTATCATCAGCTTAGTCATCCATAGTCTATTTGGATTACTTGAGCAGACATTGGTAAAACTTCCTAAGTCTACTGAAGGACAATCAGCTGGATTCGCCCTGGTAACTTAGTAACAGTACAGTTTACGGAACAACGACCTAGTGGATTGCTGACGGAGAGGACTCCGGCCGAGTACTGACCACGTAGGTATACAGATTGACTTGAACTTAGGTTACAGAGAACTTGTGCAGAGTAACACCCTAGTGAGTAAGCACGTAGGGAAGCACCAACGGAATTAGGTTATACAGAGAACTTGCGCAGATCAACACCCTAGTGAGTAAGCACTTAGGGAAGCACTTCAGGAACAGGTAACAGAGAGAGCTCAAGCTGAACAACGCCCTAGTGAGTAAACACGTAGGGAGGCAGCTACAGATTTAGGTAACAGAGACAACTGAACCCAACACTACCCCTTCACAACCACCATCCAACCCCCCCTCCATTTTCCCAAATACACCTCACCTCCCTGTTTCTATACTACTGTGCCATTCCTTGAATAAAGTCACTTCCAGGAAGACACAGAGGGAAACTATTTTTCCCTACGACAGCGCTCGGTCGCATCTGCTTCATACACAAACCTTGGGCCAATTAGCCCCAGTCCCATGACCCAGTTCTGCTCTATCTTGGACGACGACACTCGAACTCCGTATCAGCCTATTATTACAAGTACCCCACGAGCACCAACCCAGCCATACCGGTTCGGTAAAATCTACGATATCCAAGGTCTTCCTCTCCCGGCTTTGGACTACACGTCCCAACCTGGTTCCATGTACACTCTAAAGCTCCGCACGAGTGTCAACACCCGCGGATGTTTGCACAGGTACCTGCAGGAAAACATCCGCAGGTTTGACATCCGCGGATACAGGTATCCGTTTCCCACGGATGCCAAGAGTACAGGTATGACTCTGGAAGATCTTAATTTTCATTATCTTCTATATATTCCAGTCACTACAGTCTTCTTGTGCCCTGTAGTGTCCATATCAGTATAGTACTTGATACTATATTCTATATAAGCTCTTAATATTGTCAATATACCTCAGTATCGTAATATTTTATTCCAAATACCTATGGATAACCCGTGCAGGTACCCGTATCCGTGAGTACAGGTACCCGTTTCCCACGGATGCTGCAAATGCAGGTATTGGTTTTGAAGCCTAAATTACCCGCAGGTAGAGTACAGGTATTTATCCGTGACACTCGTGAGAAGCCTTAGTACACTCCCACCACGGACAAGAATGCTCCTCATCAATTCGAACTGGGCTCGCCAACTTCATCTGAACAGCTTCCCTCGATGCCGGAGCCTCTTCGCAAGATGTTGCTGGCGAGGTACCGTGCCGAACACTACCCAATGGCTGCTGTCAACCCAAACATGGCCATGATTCAAGGTGCTCGTCTTCAGCATGCAAAGGCGGATTCCAGTGTGAAGACGAAAGTCAAGCTCGAGTTCGAGGATTACCATTTTGGGAAGGAGAACGCGAAACCCAAGGCCGCAGTGGTGGTTAAGTCTGGTCGGGGTGCTCTCAGAACCGCGATTGATTTCACAAAAGCTCTACGGGTTGTCAATGCCCAAGAACCCTGGTCTGCTGGGCATGGCAAGAAGAAGGAGGCCTGGGAAGAGTGTGCAAGCCTTGTCTCTGTCGCTGTCAATCGCCCAATGACCGCGACTTATCTCAAAGCGAAGATGGAGTCCATTGTTGATTGGAAAAAGGTACAATTCTGAGTTGAATTCAATACCTTAACTCATATGTCTGTGCGATAGAACCCTATGGGCAAAAATAAGGCTCTCGGTGCCATTGTTGGCAGTGGTAACCCAGATGCTATTCCTCTCGGCGCTCTTATGGAGATGATGGAAAATCAACATGATATGGCAAAAGGCAAGACAGATGATGCGAAGGCGAAGATCAAGCAGGTATGGTTTTTGGCATTTGTCTTGTCCAGCTCTGATAGCGACTAGAAAAGCACCGAAGATAAAGCAGGTGGAGAGGAGATCCGCAAGGCTTTGATGCAAGCCCTTCGGCGCAAGCGTGCTATCAGTATCTCGACAGATACCATGTCCAGCGACACCGAGAGCGACACCGAGACAGCAACTGTTATCAGCAAGTCGGCCGGCAAATCGATAATCGACCTTGTGGACACGGATGAGAAAGTCGACAGCAAAGAGAAGGAGCCAAAGCCTGCATCCAAGAAGCCCAAATCCAAGCGGCGTCCTGGCATGGAACACAACTTCGACTGGTGACAACCTTGTCACCATTTTCGAAGCCGAAAATGCCCGCCCGTGCAGCTCATGATGAGCGTGTTGTTGCGTCATGGGAGGCTTTTGTCCGTGATGCTCGGGAGGGGCGTGAGATGATGAAACAGCTGTTGGTTGGAAACGAGGAGAAGGCAGGAACTCCCAAGGACAATAACGAGTAGCCAAGGTATGCAATCAATACAGACTTGTATTCATGTACTACATTCATTAGTCATGAAAATAGTCCTCTACAGATGGTGGCTTGCAAGCGAAGTACTGAGATGTCTGGTTTGGACTAAGGCAGTTTAATGCATTAGTCAATAACACACCAACACGATAGTCCCACAGGCGAAGAAAAGACCCGTTGCTTCCACCAGCCATTGAGAAAGGGCCATTTTGTGACCACTACGCCAAACCCATGTTTAACCTCGATACGCACAGCTGCCATTGCCTTGTTCCATGCCGCTTCTTCTTGGGTACGCTCCCCTGGCCCCGAAAATGGACTTATCATCAGCGGGCTTAGACCATAGGCTGGGTCTCCAAAAATCTCGAAGTAGTGTGAAGCAGGGGCGGTATCCTCGTTGGTGCCTGGCCTTAGCGCATGTTGTTCGCACTTTTCAAGCAACTTGATTGGCCCATACAGATGTCCAATAAGGCCGTTCGGAAGCATGATAGCTTGATATTTGAGTGCATGGACCTTCTTATAGCCGTTGTAGACAATTCGTTGTAGATGATGCGGATGACAAGTAGGCCGGATGGTACAGTCAATAAAGCCCCATACCATGTTCAATGGGGGCACCTGCATCAAAGATAGCAGTTGCATACTCCTCCATCCGAGCGGGCGCGAGAACTCCGTCGACATCAAAATCAAGTAAATGTGCCCATCGGTTGTCTAAGTACAAGCAAAGCTCGTTGATCACTTTGCTTATTGCCGACTGGGCTCACCCATACTGCATCGAGAGCATATATTGGTCTCCAGCGGTTCGGAAGCGTGCCAGGAGCAAGCAAAGAGCTTCGACATCGGAAAACACAGAGCGATGTTTTGTCTTGAAAGGTTGAGGGATGTCAAGCACGTTAACTAACAGCTGTATCTCTTCTGCATAGAAACTATACCGAAAATCAATCTGTGCTTGCCGACCAGATTTTAGCAAGCACACACCGAAATTGGTATAAACAGTCTTGAGGTTTTAGCCGCTTTAGCCATGGTAAGCTGATACGAGCTCCTCCAATATCTGGACGGGCATATGGGGCGAGAGGCATGCTTGGTAGGGCAGCTGTAACCCAGATATCATCTGGCGGTGCCGCTGTTGCTGCCATTGCTGCATGCAAGGCATTACTTCCATTGAGGCCTAGTGTCTGCCCAAGAAGTAAATGCCGCAAGAGCTTCCGTCGGCTAGGGGCCATGCGCAGAAGGGTATTAACAAAAGCTCACCAACCGTTCGACGGCCAACACTCAGTCACGTTATCACATTCCGGCCCATGGCCGTCTCAGGCTGTACGCATATTTTAGATAAAAAATTTGAACTCTCTCTCAAATTTGTGTCATATTTAGATCAATTGCTCCCAAATATTTTGAAAAAAACGAGTGCTGATAATCTCTATTCCCAGTAACATTTCCCATCTAAACATTTTTGAATCATGTCACACCATTTTGCTTCAATTCCTGTCTGAAAAGGGCAATTTTTGACATTTCTGGGCACCCAAGAATTTCTAATTAGGAAGTAATTCAAATTCAAATGTTTGAATCAAAGGTCACACCATTTTTGGCATTTGCATTGAGTAAAATACTACAGTATCGTATGATACTAGACAGCATCAATCCGCAATCCCAGCATACTCATGCTCACCACTCAACAAATCGTGGTATATGGTTGCACCCCCCTCTTCATCCCAGTGCATGCCATACCTCCCCCGGATAGCGCCATTACCATCCCAGAATGTCCGTTCGGAAAGCATGCGAAGAAGCTTCACCTCAGGCACAGTGAATCCGGTGCAGTTGATAACCTCCAGCCGTAGCCGAGGTAGCCCACTCCTTTCCTCAGGGGGTAGCTGGTGCCGTTGTGTGCGCTGTTGCCGCCGGCGCGTCCCCACATAGCAGAGGAGCACCTCGATGAAACGCGCATTGTCGCGCTCGAAGTATGAAATTGTTCCCGCCGGGCCGCCTGGCGATGCCAGCCAGCCACCCGCGCCGAGGTTGACATCGTCCAGCCTGATCGTGTGAAGCGCTGATAGGAGTGTGCAGTCTGCCTGCATGTCATGCAGCAGCGCCCATAGCAGGCCTGCAGGCGGTAATGCCATGATCGCGAGACGCTTTAGGTGCGGAATGTGGCTTGCAAAGCGGCACCAGAAGTGCTCTGGGCTCAAGCCCCAATTGACGAGCACCAGCCACTGAATGTTGTTAATGGCCGTGTCGGTATCGAGTACGGCAGTAACGATGCTGCACATGTCACTCTCCGAAAGGGACGATTCTTCCCAGGAAAGGCAGACATCATAAGGGTATTCGGGGCTCGCCCATGCGCCTTCAAGATCGCTGGAAGACAAGCTAAGCATGGCATGTTGGAAGTGGCCAGGGATTGGTGAGTGGGCTGGCAATGCACCACGAACATTGGGGTCGATTCCGTTGATGTGCTCGATCCGCATCGCACGAGGCTGGCCGACAAGCTTGAAGATGGCCAACAGCAGCATCTTCGTGTCTGGCACTGTATCAAGCTTGATGTCCACTTCCCGTATCTGGGGGATTTTCAGCGCATGTAGGAGCTTGGTCGCATTGGCTGGTTCTCCGGTACCCACACTCAGGCGGTACAGACTAGGCAAGCAGACATTTTGGGGGTGCTGGGTGGAATCATATGGCGCAAGATGCCCTATAGAAAGCTCCTGCAGTGCAACCATCGGGTCTAGGGCGTTGGCAACACTATTCCAAGTGTTACTCCACACCGAAATCTCGTCCACTCGGAGAGAGACCAAATTGGAAAACTCGGGGAGGTTTGCTGACTTGAAGAATCGAGAGTATCTGCCGATGGAGAGTTCTCGAAGTTGCGGGTATACCTCAACTTGAATCCCACAAGGGAATACAAAGCCTCCGTTGAGCACGGCCCAGTCTGCCAGCCAGGGATTGTCGCAGTCCCGTATTGAAAGGCTGTTCAACACCGGAAATGGCCCAACTAACAAGTGAAGGAGAATTTCCGTCGGTGGCGTCCGCATCCAGTAAAAGGCCAGATCGATCTTCGTTATCCGCTCTGCCATCGCCAGCACCGCCGCAACCCGCGAGAGAACGAACTCGGCGCCCGACCTCTCGCTGAGAAGCTCTGCCTCCACTCTCAGTGGCGAAGACTTGGTGCGCTCAAGACAGCGCTCCATCCATGACTGAGAGGTGAAGATGACTCTGCTCCACAGTGTTGGCGTCTCAATCGCAATCTGGCGCCACGAAGAGCAGACGTGGCTGCATGAGACCCTTGATATGTCGTTTGATGGACATTCCTCTGAGTGCAGGAGAAAGATCTGCGCCAACAGCTCGGGCGGGAGACGGTTGATTGGCCGGCTAGCGTTGTGGGCTGGATCGACGGGTGGCCTGGGTGGCTTTTCGAAGACAATAGGACATTGGGTAGGGAAGCTGTCGGCAGGGGAGGGGGGGAGGGGGGAGGACTGCCAGTGGGAAGTGAGCTTGAAGCGGCGGCCAAGCGCGATTGGCGGCAAGACTCGGATGTTGCGCAGTAGTGTTTTTGTCCGAGTCCACAGGTCTATCGGTTTCCAACGTCAGTAGTGGGTGTAAGTGGACGTGCTCAGTAGTACTCACGACGTGTTGAGCGTGTCACCCTATTCACAGGATTGCCGTAGCTCATAGTGTAGAAGGGAAGCTGTCGACACTGGTTGGGTTCTCACGTCAGTGTGTCCACCCCGTGGGCCGCCCTGTTTACGGCCCCGAATGCCGCAATGTTATGAAGGGATTCTTTTGGATTCTTCGAGGTCGCAGTGAAACTTGAATTCGAGGAGGTGGCAATTACTAGTGGCATCATGTGACAATCTGTCTTTCAAAGAGTTCACTACTAGTAGAGTTTAACGAGAAATCGAAGACTAGATTTTCACTGACATGACCCCGCGATTGAGCCCCAACTTCGAGCTTGCTACATGGTATTTCATCAAAGGTTCCGTCAGTGTCACCGTGACAAGTATTTTTTTGTCCGCCACCATCTCAAGACGTCGAACAACTCAAAGACCGTACTTCTCTTCGCCTCCTGGTTCCTCGATATTCTATGACTATGATAGCCAATGACTATCATTTGAATTGCCGCGGTTGCCCATGCATATATAAGTGCCGTCATTACTTCTGTCTTTCTCCTTGTGATGCAGAAGTCGCTCGCAGCGCTCGTCGTCGCGCTCCCCCTCGTCCTCTGGCAGCTCCTCAAGCCCAAATCGCTGCCTCTGCCGCCGGGGCCGCCAAAGCGCTTCCTCACCGGAAATTTGCACCAGTTGCCGACGGTCAAGCAGTGGCTGGTGTATGCGGAGTGGTCGAAGCGCTATGGTGCGCTACCTGGTCAATTATGGCTATAGCTGATTATAGCATACAGGGCCCATCATGACACTGCAAATACTGAACCGCGTCACCATCCTCATTACCTCCGCCAAAGTCGCACTGGACCTGCTTGATGCGCGCGCTTCCATCTACTCCGGTCGGCCGTGGACGTGGATGCTGCATGGCCTCGCGGGGAACGGCTCCTCCATGTTCTCCCTGTCGTCCCAGGACCCGCGGTTTCCTCGCTATCGCAGGATGCTGGTGGCGGGGATGAATAAGCGGGCAGTCAGGCGATATCAGCCGGTGCTGGAGGCAGCGCTGAAGGAGTTTCTGAAGACTATTGCCGTGCGACCGGATGACTACGAGTCGGTGTTGACGACCTACTCGGGTGGGATTGCGCTCAAGGTGCGTTGGTTGTTTCATCTTCGCGACTTTTCCAACTGAATAAGCCAGATTGCTTATGGATACGATATTACAGAGCCCGTCGAGGAAGACTACTTCGTGAAATTGATCGAAGGCGCTGAGGACACCATTCCGTCATTGGTCCAGCCATTCTTCTTTGTGGAAGCGTTCCCCTTTCGTGAGTGTATTCGCTGCTTTGGCGCGTCGGTTTGCTCAAGAACTTGCCAGTTCGCTTTCTTCCGAAATGGTTTCCGCTTGCCACTTTCCATCGCATCGCTGCCGCAAAGAAGAAGATTCTTGATGCAATGGTGTATGTACCGAATGAGTGGGCAAAGAAGAAGCTAGTGAGCGCAAGACATCAGCTCATCATCTTTTCCTGCTGATACTGGGGCAGGAAACCGACCCGTCTGCCGCCTCGTTCTTCTCGGGACACTACTTTGGCAAGGAAGATAGCGGGTCGCTCAGCAAAGCTGAGGCGGATGATCTGATGTGGACAGCCGGGGCAATTTACACTGGCGGAGCACATACGGTAAGTTCGTTCGTTTCTATCTATAGTTCCGTGACAAAGCCCAGAAAGACTGCTTCAGCCATAGCCACCTTCCTTCTTTTGATTTCGACGCACACGGAAGTCCAAGCACGGGCGCGAGAAGAGATTGATCGTGTCGTCGGACGGGGACGGCTGGTCAACTCGGATGACCGGGCGGCAATGCCATATCTTGCTGCAATCCTCAAAGAGACGTTGCGCTGGGCGCCGCCTGCGCCTCAAGGTCTGCTTTATTGACCATGCAACCTTTAAGTTGTGACTTCTAACACTTGGCCAGGTATACGACACGCTGTCATTCAAGACGATATCTACAATGGCTATTTGTACGACTGCTTCCATGTAGCTCACGCAAAGCTAACAACAAACAGGATTCCCAAAGGATCCGCTGTCATAGCCAATATCTGGTCCCGTTTTTGGCATTTGAACACATCCATTCTGCTAACTTTGACAATATTGCAGGGCAATCACCCACGATGCGGAGATGTACCCCAAGCCGTTTGAGTTTGACCCCTCCCGCTTTCTTGGGGACACGCCTCAGCGCGATCCTGCAGAGTTAGTTCTACTTTCCAAATATTCTTAGTACTTGCTTGCTGATATTGTCGTCAGTTTCGTCTTTGGCTTTGGCCGCCGCGTCTGCCCCGGCGCCACTCTCGCTGGAGAATCCGTGTTCCTCGCCGCCGCGAACCTGCTTGCGCTCTTCGACATCAAGACGGCGCTGGACCCCGCGGGGAGGGGGATTGATCCGATGGAGGGCCTGGATTGGCGGACGGGGCTCATTACGTGCGTTTTTCCTTCTCGTTCTGTGGGATGGGGTGATTTAAACGTTATGCGTTAGGACTCCGCTGAATTTCAGGTTCCGTTTGGTGCCCCGGTCTGCGGATACGCTTGCCGCTATGATAGACGGGTAGTCTGAGGCCATGTACAAAATTATGGAGTCCCAGGTACTACTTAGTAGTCTATTGCATTGCATCGCCGTGATCATGACTAGTACTCGGAAATGGCCAAAACGTAACGTGGAGCGGAAGCGAATAAGCATACCATTAAGTATGGGCTGGTACTGTAGGGTTTGGAAAGCTGAATGAGATACCGAAAAACGACAAGGCCTCAGCTCACTTCAAGAAACAACCAGAAATACACAAGAAAGAGTATGCAGGTGCTGGATTCAGGAAGAACTGGACTTCGCTTTTCTGCGATCATGATGTCATCTGCATGATTGTGGGCAGCCTATCCGATGCAGTCGATTATGCACCGGTTGCTGAAGGACCGCTGAAATGCTGGCTTCGCCGGCCCGACCGCCAGCAATCATCTCTCGCCGACCGATGCGAATCACCGCTCAAATCCCAATCACTCGCTGTCTCTTACTTACACCACCATGACCAGCAAGCAGTACACGAAGGAGGAGGTCGCGAAGCACAACAAGAAGGGCGACTTGGTGGGTCTGCCTGTGTCCCCCTCCACGGTTGCTGACCCGCTGGCAGTGGATCGTCATCGACGGCCGGGTATTCGACCTGTCCCGGTTCGCCGCTATGCACCCCGGGGGGCTGAGCGTCCTCCTCGACGAGGAAGTCGGTGCGTTGCAGCCTGCAGAGCATCCATTTTCTTACCGGAGTCGTTTCAGCCGGGCAGGACGCGACTGAAGCCTTCTTCGGGCTCCACCGGCAAGAGATCCTCCTCCGCCCGCAGTACGCGCGCCTCCAAATCGGCACCGTCGTCGGAGAGACGCCCCAAATTGTCGCGCGAGCGCCGGGCGAACTGAGCAGCGTGCCCTACGCGGAGCCGACGTGGCTTACGAAAGGGTACCATTCGCCCTACTTCGGCGACAAGCATCGCGCGTTCCAGGCGGCCGTGCGGAAGCTGCTCGAGGAGGTTGTCCTCCCCGACGCGCTGGCCCGGGAGGAGGACGGAAAGCCGGTGTCGCAGGCTGTGTGGGACAAGCTTGCCGAGGTGTGTTTCCTTGCTTGCTTGGGGATAGTCCCCTTCATGAGCTGATAACGCGGCGCAGGCGAATATCATGGCCATGCGCTTTGGGGCCGGGCCCCATTTGCAGGGCAGGACCTTGCTTGGCGGTATCATCAAGCCTGAGGAGGTGTGTGTTGCCAACGGAGCCTTCGATAGCTGATATCTACCGCAGATGACCACACTCTATAGTTTAATCTTGAATCAAGAATTCGCCCGCTTCAATGCTCGGTGAGCCTTCTCCCATCATCAAGTCTTGACAGTGCTCATCTCGCAATGCAGTGGCTACGCAGACGGCGGTGAGTTGTTTGGGCCTTGTCGCATATGTCCCACATGACTCTGTTTTGGGCAGGAAACGGCAGTCTCATCGGCCTCCCGCCCATCCTCAAGTACGGCAAGCCCGCGTTGCGCGACAAGATCATGAACGAGTTCTTTGACGGGAAGAAGTTCGTCTCCCTCGCGATCTCGGAGGCGTTTGCCGGGTCGGACGTCTGTGCGTGGATATGTCCTTGTTTTTCGTGATCTCACAAATTTCAGCCGGTATGAAGACATTTGCTAAGAAAACGGACGCGGGCTGGTTGGTCACCGGCACCAAGGTCGACCCGCTCCTCCTTGCGCAACTTATTGCTGATCCCTTCGACAGAAATGGATTACCGGCGGCATGGTCGCGTCCTACTTTACTGTCGGGTGTCGGTCGGAGAAGGGAATGGTCGTGCTTGTTATCGAGCGCGGCCCGGGTGTCGAGACAAAACCCATAAAAACCGCCTACAGCTCGGCGGCGGGAACGGCCTTTGTCACGTTTGACAATGTGCTGGTGCCTTTCGAGAACCAGCTCGGCCAGGACGGCAAGGGGCTGCATGTTATCTTAGCGTGTGTTTTCGTCTCTCTGCCCCCGATTCCATGCTGATTTTTGTAGCAACTTCAATGACGAGCGGTGTGTCTATTTTTTCATGCATTCTGGAGAATTCGCTGACAGAAGACAGATGGGGCATGACCGCTGCGGCGATCGCCTCCCACCGGGTGGTGGTCGAAGAATGCCTGAAGTAACCCCTTGCCTCTTGTTACTTCTAGATGATAACGCTTCTGACACATCAGGCAGATGGGCAACGCAGCGCAAGGTCTTCGGGAAGCCCCTCGTCTCGCAGGCAGTCATCCGCTCCAAGCTCGCCGGTGAGCGCGGACGAACTTATTCCTAACTCGATTAACGAGTTACTTCTTTTCTAGCGATGATCTCAAGGGTCGAGAGCGCACAAGCCTGGATTGAAAATATCACGTACCAGGTATTTTTGTTTGTCCTGCGTATTCTTCATCGTCGACAACATTCGTAGATGGCCAACATGAACCATCAAGAACAAGCGATATTGCTCGCTGGGTGCGTTCCAGGTATCCCGCCAGCACGATTTGATTACTCATATACGAGGCCAGCCAAATTGCGCTCCTCAAAAGCTACGCGACCAAAACCGCACAGGAGACCGCCGAAGATGCGGTCCAGGTTCGTGATGTTGTCTCCTTATACCCCCCTTAACAATTATCGATTAATCCTTAGATCTTTGGTGGTCGTGGCATCACCCGCACCGGTATGGGCAGACACATCGAACACTATCACCGGACGGTGGTATTTGACGCTATCCTTGGCGGAAGTACGTGCATTCCTACATAGTCGCCATCGCAAATTACTCAATTCCTTGCAGCGGAGGATGTCTTGGAAGACCTAGGTGTCCGGCAGGCGCTAAGGGCGATGCCAAAGAATGCGCGCTTGTGAAGATCTGAAAAAGCTATCTATTCTATTGGATACAGATGTATTATACTGGTGGGACGGAGCTGACCTCGCGCTAATCTATATCTACTGCTTTTCCCGGTCGTTCACCTTGGCGTTCTCCTCCTTCAGCGCATACGTCTCGTCGATCCCCTGGACCATCGGGATCTCCCGCAACAGCAGGCAGCTCAGCAGGCCGATGCCCGAGATGCCCGTCATCGTCTGCCACACGGCGGCCATGCTCTCCGCAAACGCGGCCTGGACCTCCGTCTTGAGCGGCGCGTCGAGCGTGCGGATGACGGGTATCGCGGCGTACGCGATCTCGAAGCCGGCGGGGGAACTGCGCGGCGAACGCCGGCGGGAGGGTGGCCTGCAGCTTGTTCTGGAGGACGGTCGACGCGATGGTGATGCCCCACGCCTGGAAGAAGGAGCGTGTGAACGTCCAGAGCGCGAGCGCGGAGGCGGCGCGGCTCGGCGGGAGCGGGGCGAGGATCGGGAAGACGGGGCTGGAGAAGAGCATCCCCAGCCCGACGCTCGTGAGCACCTGGAACCCCACCCAGCGGCCCGTGCTCGAGTCTGCTTTGAGCAGCGTGAACACGCCGAAGCCCTGGACAATAATGTCAGAAAAGAAATCGCAGAGTTGCGGCACAGACGATGATGACGAAACACCACGCGGCGTAGTTGACCGGCCGGTATTTCGCGGTCACGGTCGTGATCACGCCCGCCACGAACGCGAACGGCGCGGTGAGCAGCCCGGAGGGGAGGAAGTCGACCGCGGAGCGGATCGGCGAGGCGGAGAAGCAGGCTTGGAAGTAGACTGGCGAGACCGTGAGTTTTCAAGTTGTTTGCTATGCCCAAAAGCTCGACTGGCCTGGCAAGTAGTAGATTAACGCGACGCTGACCAGGCCGTGGATCGCCGTCCCGAGCAGCCCGCCGAGCGAGGTGCGGTTGCTCATGATGTCCGCCGGCGTCGTCGGGCGGACGGGGTCCGTCACCAGGTACACTTCGTAGAACCCGAAGACGATCAGGAGCACAAACCCGATGACCAGCGGCGCGAGGACCTGTGCGGAGGCCCACGGGAAGCGGATGCCGCCGAAGGTGAGCCCGACGATGGCGAGCGTGGTCCCCGCGATGACAATGAGGTTTCCGCTGAAACGAAAAATAAGTCAGTCGTGGAGGAAGCAGACACGGGGGAACGGTGGCACAGCCAATCAACTTGGGCAAGCTTCGACTGGATGCTGCCCGGCGGACTGCGCACCCGCAGGAAGAAGGCGACCAGCAGAAACGAGATGCCGCAGAGCGGGAGGTTGAGGACTACAGCGTCCGTTAGCAATCGCGGTTGGCGGAGACGATGCGATGCCCACAGAAGAGCCAGCGCCAGGCTTTGGTTCCTTTATTCGCAAGAGCGCCGCCGATCGGCGGCCCGACACTCTAATAATCATTGTAAACTCAAGACCAGGAGCAGAGCTGCTATCACTCACAGAAGCAAGCGACCAAATGAGGGCGAGAAAACCTTGGTAAATCCCCCGTTCAGCGAGGGGCACGAGGTCGGCGACGAGGATCTCCGAGAGGGCCAGGATCCCGCCGCCGCCGACGCCTTGGACGGTCCGGGCGGCGATCAGCATGTTCTGGACAACACTAAGTATCAGCGGCAATGAAAGCACTGTTAAGAGCTGACCATATTCTGCGCTGCGCCAGACAACGCGCTGCCGATAGCGAAGAACAGAATGCTGAACAGGACGACGACGCGCCTGCCGAAGGCGTCCGCCAAGTTGCCGCTGAGCGGGATGAACGCCGTGCTGGAGAGCGCGTACGCCGAGCCGACCCACGTGAAGTCGCCCCTGGTGTCGTGCAGCGCGGCGGAGATGGTCGGCAGGGCGGTGCCGACGGCGGTCAGGTCGATCGCGGAGAGGAAGGTGGTCACGCTTATCGCGAGGAAGGTGAGGTAGAATGCGCGCGATTTCGGCTGTGGTTGTTTGAGCTGGGCAGCCGGGGCAGTGTCGCCTTCTAATGTCGCCGTGGTAGAGCCCGCCGGGGAGATGGTGACGTCTCGCGGGTGGCCGCTCAGCGAGCCTGGGTCGGTCATCTAGAAGTTGGTGGAGGACGAAGCAAGAACAGAAGCCTGAGGCCTGCTTACCCGTCCGACTTTGTCCACTTAAGTAGGATCGGCACCGGGGAACCGGACGGTGTGCTGCTTCTAGCGCAATCCTCTGCCACCCACGGAGAGATAAGCAGACGCGCGTTTGAATGCGCGGGCGGAGATGAGCCCCGTTGTAGGTGACATGCACCTCAATTCTCCCACCGGCACGTCCCCGGCCGATGATCAGTGGTCGGCCATGGGTGCGGGCAGGCACGATGTTCCCGTGGCCCCGGCAAGGCTGGACGGAAGCACGGAAGCGAGGATGCAGGCTGCGGCCAGCGGGACACGCTCTGAAGCGTGAGGTGACCGTATGAACGGGTTTTTCCCTCCACGGAAAGTGGGCGCAGTTATGTCGCTGCGGAGAACATTGACGTAGAAGCCGCTGAGCCGCTTCTTCTCTCATGTCAAAGCACAGAGTCGCCGTTGTCAAAATCTCATTCGGTCCGCGGAAGATGTCTATCACAGGTCCGCCTAGCCGCGGGCCGCGTCTTCCGGTCTCCCGCATGCAGGTCTATATATACTGTTCTGGCTTTCAAAGACGGTATTCCTGCCAGCCATCTCCGACTCACCCGCAGTCCGCATAAGTAAACCCTTACAGCCGCGCACCCTTCGGCATCACCTTAATCGCCTGCCTAACGCCCAAATCGTCCAGCACATCCTCCGTCCCGCCCAAAATCGCGTCGAAAATCGCCGTATGGTGGAAGCGCTCGACATATTTACCCATGCCGGTCAGCGTGATCCCCCGACCGCCGAAAATCTATAGCGTGTTTAGTAGAAGAATGGTCATAGAGTAAGAATGGATACTTGGATCGCATCCTTCGCGGTCTCTTGGGCAGTTCTGGTGGCGAAGCTTTTGAGAAGGGCGATTTGTCTTGGCACAAATTAGATGAAAGGTTACAAGGGGCAACGAGGGCATACCCAGCGAGAAGCATTGATTGCTGTTGGTGGCTCATATTCATCATCTGCAGACATCACCATAAGCGCTAAAATGAGCGAGCAATGCGATGGCCGACCTGGAATGTGATGTTCTCAATCCACGCTTGCGCGCTCTCCACTCTCGAGATCATCGCTGCAAGAAGTCAGCAGTTGGTAATCGGCAGAAGGGTCGACATCAACCTGCAAGCTTGGAGCGGATGACGGCTTGCGAAACCAAGGGCTTCCCAAATACTTTTCGTTGTGTAGCCCATCTAGCAAGTGGTCACAAATGCGTCAAAGCAGGAGTATTGAAGAACAAACTTCAGACATTCCTCGACAATCGTCCTGTGTGATGAAATAGTCGCAGCAGTCATGCCCCATCGCTCCGAATTGAAGTTCCTGCAGACCATTACGACTTGGACCGAAAGTAGCAAAACGGAAAACACACGCTAACATGACATGCAGCCCATTTCCGTCCTCCCCGAGCTGGTTCTCGAAAGGCACGAGGACATTTTCGAAGGTCACAAACGCAGTGCCTGCGGAAGCGCTGTAACTTGTCTTGATTGGTTTCGTTTCGACGCCAGGTCCGCGTTCGATGACTAAAACAACCATTCCTTTGGCTGAGCGGCATCCGACAGTGAAGTAGGTCGCGGCCATTCCGCCGGTAATCCATTTCTACAAACCTGTTAGTTTCAATAAACGCGATATTGATCAACCACACCTTGGTACCAGTGACCAGCCAGCCTTTGTCAGTTTTCGTCGCGAATGTCTTGAGCCGGGCTATAACATATGTGAAGAAGGGTAATAAGGAATGAGGAAGAATCACGAACAGACATCAGACCCCGCAAATGCCTCAGAAATGGCCAACGACACAAACTTCTTTCCAGCAAAATACTCGCCTGCGATCTTGTCCCGCAGGGCAGGGGTCGCATGATGGAGGATTGGCGGAAGCCCAATTTGTGCGCCGTTCCCAAGTCCATCTGCATAACCGCGCGCATTGAGACGGCTGAATTCTTGAATAAGAATAAGCGAATGGACGATTGTGAGCTGGATTCCAAGTTAGCGCAAGAAGAAGGATATGTTAAAAAACACACACCTCCTCCGGTTGGATGATACCGCCCAGCAGCTTCCGCCCCTTGAGATGCGGTCCTGGGCCCAGTCGCATCGCCAGGATATTCGCCTCGGCCATCTTTTCCCAGACCTCCTTCGACGGCGGTTTCCCGTCCTCCTCCCGCGCCAGCGCATCTGGCAGCACATGCTCCTCGCAGAACTGCCTCACCGCCGTCTGGAACGCGCGGTGTTTGTTGGTAAAGTATGGGGAGTGGTAGCCGGGTGTAAGCCATGTTGGCTCAGCGTATGGGACGGAGCTCAGTGCCCCCGCTGCTCGCGGGCTGATGCGTTCTGACTCGCCCACAATAGTGCCGATTTGGAGACGCGCGTATTGCGGTCGCAGCAGCACTTCGTGTCGGTGGAGACCGAAAAAGGCGTCAGTTGCGTCTTGTCCCGCTGGATCTTGTCAGCTACTCCGGAAACAGCTGAAAACAGGCCACACACCGACTTCTGCATCTAAGAGGACACTCAGACCACCAGGGTGCATCGCAGCAAAGCGCGAGACATCGAAAACCCTCCCGTCAATGACGATCCACTACACTATTCATCAGACAAGGCAAATGAATGCTTGACGACGCACCAGGTCCCCTTGCTTGTTGTGTAGCGCAACCTCCTCCTTCGTGAACTGCTTGGTGGCCGCCATTTGTGGGTGGGAATCGTATGCGGGGAGGTAATTATGGCCACCGAGTGCCCGACCCAAAATCACTATCACTCGGCCAGGAGCTCGGGCAGCCTATCTTGGGTGTTCCTTCCGTGGATCGGGCCATGGGTTCCTTCGCTTCCAGAGCTTGAGTGGGTCGGCCCCTTGTATGAGTGTGTAGAAATTGACTGTTGTCGTTGGAAGCAATGTGCGGGCGATGACATAAGCCCTTCTCGATCCTCATCTAACGTCTAACAATCATGGCTCCTTCCTCGTTACTTCCTCCCTACTCTCAGGAACGCTCGGCTTCGGCGCACGGGGATACGAATCTCCCATCCTGAAGTCTCTTTCACACCAACACCAACTTGCATGGCGGAGACGAAAGGCAAAGCCCCAGCTGGCCCGAGCCCACGCGAAACACCCCTGGAGAAACTTTTCCGCAGCCTGCCCAACGTCGACGCCTCACACATCGGCGGCAACCTCTCCGCCGCAGACAAGCAGCTCGACGCAAACAAGTTCTTCTTCTTCATCGCCGGCACGGGCGGAGCGCCGAACAAGCAGCCTTTCGCGGGCAGCATTGGCGCGCGACTGAAGATTGTGGAGATGAACATAACGGAAGAGCCGCCCAGCGCGGACCAGACGATGGAAATCGAAGTAACTCAAGGTGTGTTTTGTGGCTTGTCGGTAGAACTGGGTGGATTAACAACGGAAAGATATGTGCAATGCCTTCGGAAATATGCACGGGGCATGTGGCGCGTTTCTATTAGGCCAGTGCGTATATCAAGCAACCATCTTTTCAAGTGCTGACTGGAACCTAGTGCCGCCATGGGGGCGATAGTGCAGCTTGGCCACGCGAAGGGCTACGACAACGGAAGCCTCGTCGCAACCGCACAAAACCTGCAAAACATGAACTGGCACACTCCGGCCAACATGTGAGGACTTCCTGCGGCCCGTCAGACGCGCTCATCCATCTTATCCACAGCGGAGAAGTGCTCACAATCCGCGCCGAAACTGTCTTTGTCGACAACAAGAACCGCGGCCCGCGCCTGGCCAGCTGCGAAATCCGAGAGAAGAACTCTGGGCGGCTGATTCTCACAGGTACGGTTGGCGGGGTACCAAGTATGCACAAGAGCAATACGAAGGGCGGGGCGAAGCTGTAAGTTTATGATTATTACTTTGCGACTGTAGCTGGCGGAGTTGGTCGAATTCGTATACGGTATACCGGTGCGGCCAATGAAAATTCGGGCCATGTCCTGCGACTTTCTACTTTACTTATCAGAGACGAAACGATCAATTTTCACAACATTTGAAGTCACCGAATGAGGATCAATCATGGTAATGAGAGGACTACTTAGGAGACAATGAATCATATCGATATTTTCAAGTAGTTGGATTTTATTACTTCAAATCAAGAACTAGGGTTTTGCGTCGCACATTTCGTATTCAAAACGTTAGGTTGCACTCGTCTATCACCACCTTTCCTGCCTTGGCCATCTTGGGCAGTCCTCGCACAACTGCCTCCCCGAATGCAGTGGTAATCCAAGACGGAGTGATGCCCAACGAGTTCGGAGCCACGGGAAACCAGTGCACAGCCTCCAAAGGGCTCAATTTCTGGAATAGGGTATCTAGTCGGCCCATAACATCTTTGGAGAGTGGTGGCAGCGGCAGGGTTGGTACGTGCAGAAGAACGATGTTAATGGTGATCTCCAGAAGGTTTGGGCAGGGGGTGTTCTCGATAAGGACCGAGAGTAGTTGTGGCAGAAAGCACAATTGCGCGTCGGGCACGGTGGGGTCCTCGCACAAGTGGTGAAGGCCGACGGTTAGCTGGAAGATACGCAATTGGGGGAAAGCCGGAGGAAATGGAACGAAGTCGGTGTCCATCGCGGCTGAAACCAACGGTACAATCAGCACCAATCAGGGACGAAGATGCGCGGACGAACTAGTGCAGCTGAGGTGAATCTCTTTCAGAGTGCGCGCAGACGCAAAACAAAGCGCGTTTGTGTGTGTCGCATTCGCGTGGATCACCTGCAAACTGCCGATGTAGCCAGCGAACTCAGGCTCCTCCAGAATGGGTTCTATCTCTGGACTATGGTCAAGAGATAGCTCCAAAATGGTCTTGAAGAAGGTATCCCGGCTCGATATCATGATCTTGTGCATCCATTCCGCCTCTTCCACCGAGTCCCCTGAGTCAACCGTCACCTCAACTTGAACGAGAAGGATAGACGGAGCAGAGTTGAGAAAAACATGAAAGACAGGCCTTGGAAGCCCTACGATGCGGGATACGTAGAGTTCCTCCAGCATGGACTGCTCCAGAATCCACTCCAACAACACACCCTGTACCGACCTGGGCACGGCAGCCCATGTGGTGAAGGACAATTTGCCCAGCACAGAGCACCGTCTGACGCATGTGAGCCGTCTGAAAAGCGTCGCCACCGTTTTCTCGTCTCCATTCCAGCGGTCACCACTGACGGCGATGTGCAGGGTCTGCACGTAGCGCGCAAGGTGAGGAGAACCCTCCAAGTGGCGTAAAGCATCTTCATATGCATGTACTGGTCTGGCTTGAATCTCGGTCTCATGCTGGTCTTGCACCCCCGCGATGAACAGCGTTTCGTAGATTTGTTTTTGGCAGGGATGGAGGAAGATGGACGCGGCCAGAGCGCAATTTTGCAACGAAGCCATGTCAGGCAGGTGCTCTACCACCAGGAGGACAAGCTCAGGTGGAAATGGCGACGGAGTCATGGTAGTCGGCCAGAACAGTCTGGCACCAGAAGCGACCCATGGCCAGAATTTGAAACTAAGTACTGACGTTGTGACCATGGAAGCTTGGGGCGACCTGCTGTATTCGCTTCCACTTTGCTTCCGTTCCATTTTACGTTTGGCGACTTCGAGAATATACATGCGACCAATGACCATAGACATTAGCAACGAGTGCTCCCTCCTGGTAGTGCAGTGACCCGGCAGAAATGTTTGGATTAGCAATACCCAGTGAGGATACTTGTCTGCATTGTTGAACAAATCGAGCACGGATGAGTCTGTCACCGGGAGGATGTCGATACTTGTATTCTACGAGTACCTGGCACTGTAATCCAGATGTGCTCAGGCTATCCGTCTATCATAGCGGCAAGCGTGTCCGCAGACCGGGGCACCAAACGGAACTTAAAGTTCAGCGGAATCCTAGCGCATAACATTCAAGCTACTCCATCTCATAGAACGAGAAAGAAAGACGCACGTAACGAGCCCCGTCCGCCAATCCAGGCTCTCCATGGGATCAACCTCCCTCCCCGCGGTGTCCAGGGCCTTCTTGATATCGAAGAGCGCAAGCAGGTTCGCAGCAGCGAGGAACACAGATTCTTCAGCGAGAGTGGCGCCAGGGCAGACGCGGCGGCCAAAGCCAAAGACGAAACTAACGACAATATCAGCAAGTAAGAATGTTTGGGAAAGTAGGAATAACTCTGCAGGATCGCGCTGAGGCGTGTCCCCAAGAAAGCGGGAGGGGTCAAACTCAAACGGCTTGGGGTACATCTCCGCGTCGTGGGTGATTGCCCTGTAGTACCAGAGGTCAGCGGAAAAGATAGGTGCAAGTACCAAAAACGATACCAGATATTGGCTATGACAGCGGAGCCTTTGGGAATCCTATTTGTTGTTAGCTTTGCATGAGTTCTATGGAAGCAGACATACAAATAGCCATTGTAGATATCGTCTTGAATGACAGCGTGTCGCAGACCTGGGTAAGTGTGAAAGGTTTCAAGGATGCATGGTCAATGAAGCGGACCTTGAGGAACAGGCGGCGCCCAGCGCAATGTCTCCTTGAGGATTGCAGCAAGATATGGCATTGCCGCCCGGTCATCCGAGTTAACAAGTCGTCCTCGTCCAACCACACGATCAATCTCCTCTCGCGCCCGTGCTTGGACTTGCGCGTGGCTCGAAATCAAAAGAAGAAACGTGGCTATCGCTGAAGAAGTCTTTCTGGGGTTGGTCACGGAACCATGGATAGAGGCGAACGAACTTACAGTGTGTGCTCCGCCAGTGTAAATCGCCCCCGCAGTCCACATTAGATCGTCCGCTTCGGTTTTGCTGAGCGACCCGCCATCCTCCTTGGCAAAGTAGTGTTCCGAGAAGAACGAAGAATCGGATGGATTGGTTTCCTAAGCATTTTCAGCAGAAAACAGAAGACAATTATGCCATCCCCACCAATTTCTTCTTTGCCCACTCATTCGGTACATACACCATGGCATCGAGGATCTTCTTCTTTGCGGCGGCAATGCGATGGAAAGTCGCGAGAGGAAACCATTTTGGAAGAAAGCGGACTGAAAAAGTGTTGAGGAGACACATGCTTTACATAGACAAACACCGTCTCACGGAATGGGAAGGCTTCCACAAAGAAGAATGGCTGTACCAGCGAAGGGACAGTCCCCTCACCACCCTCAATCAATTGCACGAAGAAGTCGTCTTCAACGGGTTCCGTAATGTCGTATCCATAAGCAATCTGGCCGCTGGGTTAATCTGGGATGTCGTCAATACGAAACAACCACACCTTGAGTGCAACCCCGCCCGAGTAGGTAGTCAACACCGACTCATAGTTGTCTGGTCGTGTCGCGATATTCCTCAAAAACTCCTTCAGCGCTGCCTCCAGCACCGGCCGATATCGCCCGACCGCCCGCTTATTCATCCCCGCTACGAGCATCTTGCGATAGCGAGGAAACCGCGGGTCCTGGGATGACAGGGAGAACATGGAGGAGCCATTCCCCGCGAGGTCATGCAGCATCCATGTCCACGGCCGACTGGAGTAGATGGACGCGCGCGCATCGAGCAGGTCCAGCGCGACTTTGGCGGAGGTGATGAGGATGGTTACGCGGTTCAGTATCTGCAGCGTCATAATGGGCCCTGTGCGTCATAGTCAGCTATACCCAGAATTCCGACGAGACCAGGTCGCGCACCATACTGTTTTGACCACTCCGCATACACCAGCCACTGCTTGACCGTCGGCAACTGGTGAAGATTACCGGTGAGGAAGCGCTTTGGCGGCCCCGGCGGCAGGGGCAGCGACTTGTTAGGCTTGAGGAGGTGCCAGAGGACGAGGGGGACGGCGACAACGAGCGCTGTGAGTGACTTCTGCATGACGAACAGGAAGAAGAGCTAATCGCCGACCCCACTTTGCCCGAATGACAGGCCGCATGCACCATCTGCGTGATAGTCATTGCCAATGGCGATCTGAGGCTAATAATACGCAGTCATGCTTGTATGATAAGGGCAGGATGAGGGAGCCAAAACGCGGAGAAACGCAGAACGCGTTAGATTGGAGAAGTGACATGGCAGTGAAGTGACATGGCAGTGCCAGTGTGACGTGTACCAATCATGAGCTCATTTAGGCCTCATCTTTGGGGGAGTTCTCAAAAGTAAGTCAGTGATATACCGAAGGCCTTAACAAATGTCCTTGGTACAAGAAGGCCTTAGCCCTTAGCCTAAGGCTTAGCATCCCAAAAATGAAATTTTGATTGCAACAAAGTAAATAAAATAAATCTACTTTACCTTATTATTGTCAATCTCAATTGAACGGTTATCAAGTGTATTATTCTCTGTATCCAGCTTTGCCATAACCTGCATATACCACTTCTCCTTTGTTTTTCCCTCCTTATATTCCCTCTATAACTTGCAAGTATAAGACCTAGGCGTGAAATGATTTTGGGGTGGTAGAGTCCCAAACAGATTGCACAAGGTGAGATTGGGCTAGTAATGGCCAGGTCCGGTTTGGGATTTTGGTTCAAACCTGAACTGGACTGGACTGAACACATGCTCAATGTTCAGGTTTGGTGAAGGCTGTTTCCAAACCAAACCTGGCTCTCAGTTCGGCCAGGTTCGGCCATTTTGGGCCAAAAAACACCGGTCTGGGGCTGGTTCAAACCACCCTTTGGCATTCATGTTTGGCCAAATCGGATTTTGAACTGAACTGATAGTCTGGTGTTTGGCTAAAGAGGGCCAAGAACCAGACCAAACCGGACTCGGCTATTGCTAGATTGGGCCACTACTGTTGAATTTTATTCAATTTGAATGCCAAAAGTAGTGTGACATCTAATACAAAAATATCAATTCGAATTATTTCCTAATTAGGAAGTTCTTGGTACTGAAGGTGCCCGGAACTGTGCCTTTTTGGGAGAGGTTTTTGAGAAAAATGGTGTGACATGTGAAAAGATTTCGAATTTTATAGCTGATGTGACACGTGACATACAAACTGAATAAAATGCTACAGTATTGGTATATATCATTAACCAGAATAACAGAATTATTGTCATGGTAGTGAAGAACATTATTACTGTTGTGACAATGTTAACTCAAGCCTTAGCATGAAATCTATTGATATGAGGAGGTTTAGATTAAGGCTTAGCCCTTTGTTGCATCTGGTTGAATAACAACTAATTGTTTTGTGAATTAGATTACTTTGGCCAAAATGAGGGGAAAAAAACCATTTAAAATACTAAAATACTGATCCTTTCTTTTTTGGCAAGCTAGAGCCTATATATGAACCTTACCTATAAGTAAAACAATTTCATAAATGTTAGTCAAGGAGATAGTATTGGGCTTAGGTTCTCAATTAACATACCAAATTCCTGTAGTTAGTTATTGAATATTAGTATCTTCCAGGAAATTTCTCCTTCTGTAAGTACTTACCACTGACCAGATAAACTGAGAATAAGACCAATATGAATTAAGCCACAGAATGACAGGTAAAAGTAGGATTAGTGTCCTTAAAATTTCTGGCAGAGAGTAGCCTGCTTTTATGGTAGTCGTGGTTGAAGATGTCTGATAAACTATATTGGGAAGATGTTTTAGTCCAATTGTGCCACCTCAGGCTACCCACCTGTTAGGGTTAAATACCCCCCCCTGACTTCTAACCTAAGAGGTTCCCCTGGATGGGTTCAACCCACAGGCTATGGCTGTTTCCATCACCATGGGTGTCTCCACCCCCCTGTCACATCACACCAGCTGTTTGGTGCCTGTGGTTCACCCATTCTGGGCAAATAGTATTAAATTCATTTTAAGCTGTATACTCGTGGGAAAATTATAAAAAAATTATGTGAATGGTCAGACTAGTCTAGGGAAATATATTATGGTAATTAGGGGACGGGAAAAGGACTTTGAATAGTATGTGGGGGTATGGTATGTAGGGGGGTATAGGGCTCTGGGCTCTGGGCTGGGGGGTCTAGATGACTATAGAGTGACCAGCATAGGTAGATAGAAAGATATTCTCTGCTATATAATAGTATCTAGGGCAAGGAAAAAAACTACAGGTATGTGGGTTGGCTTGCAGGGCTTCTATACATGATATCATATTAGATATTTATGCAAAAGAATAATAGAAAAGGATGAAGAGAATAAGTCTGAGTCTATAAAGTAAGTAGTCTGGACAGGTGGAAGGATATTCTCTGGTATATGAGGCTATCTAGGGCAAGGAAAAACACCAAAGGTAGGTCTCTATTTTTATATATTTTTTTGGGATAAAAATAGTAAAAAGAGAGAGAAAGGGGAGGCAAAAGAAAAAGGTCCTAAGGGAGAGTCGAACCTGAAGTGATAGCATCACCGGACCGGAGAATAGAACCAATTCGGTCAACAAAGCATTATGCTAGACACAGCTAGAGGATCCGAGTCTGCCTCCCGGTCGACCGCATCAAATAATAAAAAAAAAGGTCTGCAGGCCCTTGTTGCCCACAGTCAGTGCCCTTATATCACGCTATGCAGCCAACAAGGTATCCTATGAAGGTCCAGAAACTACTGACTACACCGGGTACAGATGCCGGCGTCGGCACACATGCCGCGCCATGCCGACGGCATGTTCAACCTGGGCAACACCCAAGTCTTGATTGGGTACACCCGAACGCCTCCTTTGAACCCCCCGTGGTGTACCCAATCATGCCTGACGGGACAGGTCCGGGTGTATCCACCCATCAATGTGGGATCACCCCGGAACGCCCAACCGAAGCAGAGGGCATCACCCATATGTGATGGGATCACCCGGACGGTTTCCGCAGCGCCCATGGGTGATCCCATCATCAGGGCATGTGGTCATGCCCACACCTGCCCAAAAAGGCAAGGTAGCACCCCCCCGCAGGTGGCTACACCCAGCGTGCTTCCCGACAGGGCATGTGGAGCACCCGCCCACCGTGGGTCCCCCCCCCCCCGCCTTCCCTCGGAACCTGCCGGGTACACCCACGTGCCTCTCGGTCAGGCGGATGGGCATGCCCACGTGCCTCCCTAGCACACGCCACAGCGCCTCACACGTTTGACGCGCCAACACCTATCTAGTTCCCCAGACTCACCATATACCAACCCGCGCTCACATTCTCACCCATTTGACGTGTATTGACGCCGTCGCTCACTTGCCATACCCTTGTCAACATGCGCGCTCACGTGCTTACGTGTTCGACGCGTGTTGACGCGGTCCACCATCCTTGTCAACATGCACGCTCACGTGCTCACGCGTTTGACGCGTGTTGACACGTCGCTCAGTGTATGTATCATCCTTGTCGACATGCGCGATCACGCCGACATGCGCGATCACGTGCTCACGGGTTCGACGCGTTACCACGCGCCTTTGACGCGTCACTCGTCGCCCAGCAGGCCATAAGTACAAAAACGAAAGAAGAATCTGCATTTACATAAATACATCATCATCATCTACATCTACATTGTCTACAATGTCCCCTTGTTCCATAACACTGAGAATACCAATCAATGCAGGATCTTCATCCTCGTCCGGGAGCCATAGGCGTTATATTTTTACAAATGCAACTAGCTGTAGCTAGGATAACAGTTGTCAAATACACTGAGCAGGGCTTTTTGTCACATATGTCACATTCCTTTAAAGGCTTATTCTATTTATTTAAGACTACTATTATGGTAATTGATGATGGAACTGATAGCATCTATATAATGTCATCAATGTGGAAACATTTTTGATGGCCATCACAAGTTTTGATGATTGTAACCAGCTACATCATTTCTGTCCAAATTGGGACTATTAATTATTTTCTATATATATAGTCTTCCAAATTATATAACGGGTCTTCGGCCTGAAGAAAAGGAACTTAACATTCATTTATTAAGGATAATAATTATTAATACTGATGTTATATCAAAGTTTGATCAGTCTTATAGGGGAACAGAAGACAAATGCACTAACTGCACTCAGGCCTCACTGGAGCTAGTGGATTTGACACCAGGTTGACTCAGTGCACTCAGTGCAGTTGTCAAATGTGCACAACTACAGGTGCGGATCCGGGGCCCCATCGTCACTACAGACGTCGGACTCGTCACCATCCTGAGCGCTTCGCCACCTTGGTACCACCGTGCCACCCTCGCCAGGGACAACTCTGTCGCAGATGGACCCCAAACCGGAACATCGGGGGGAGACTCACTGCATCCAGAGACTCCTTCCACACAACATGGAGCCCAAGCAGTTTGTCACGTTGACGCTCCAGTTGGTACCGAATGGCGGGGTCTCGAGTCGCCGCTAGTGTCACCCCCTACGGCTTCCCACTCAGTCGCCAGATGGACCCGTAGATGTCTGTGTTCACGCTGCAAGCGATGCAGCTCCTCCTGGGCTCGTTCCTTTTGCAGTAACATGCGGATGAGGACACGTAACTCTGCATTCAACAACACTTCAGGAACATCAACCTCATCCTCCTCCGTCAAGACAACGTCGATCCAGATCGCGTCGTCGATGTCGAGGTCGAAGATGTGGTCTTCCTTGATGCGGTGGGGTGTGACGGTCTTCCGGGGCACCTTCTTTTTTGCGACCAACTTCTCAATATGAGCTACCTCCTCGTTATACTGCTTGACCAGCCGCTTGATGGTAGGCTCGCGCTTTTTAATTGCAGCGGAGGCATGTTGGTGTTTCTTGTCAGCTGGGTGATTAATCAGTACAGTATCTTGATTAGATAAGGGATAGACGAACTGCTCGTTGAACGTCTGACCGATCGTTCCAGCCGATCATGCTCCATCTTTTTGGCAGTTATGCGATGCAAAAGACGCTCGCGGATAGTAGCCAAGGCGAATTTGTGGGTGTAGTAGTCGCGATGCTCCATCGTGGCAAGCGCAGCCAGTTCGGAGGCTCCCAGCTGACG